TCTAAATACTTAAAACAAAATTTTCTAACTGATCAACTATGTTTACATGATAAATGAGTGGCCCAGGGAAGATTCAAGAAGTTAATGTCCTTTTTTCTTTATTATTATTATTTTTTTAAAAGATTGTATTTATTTATTTGACAGACAGGGATTACAAGTAGGCAGAGAGACAGAGAGGGTGGGGGGGAAGCAGGCTCCCTGCTGAGCAGAGAGCCCTATGTGGAGCTCAAACCCAGGACCCTGGGATCATGACTCAGCTGAAGGCAGAGGCTTTAACCCACTGAGCCACCCAGGCACCCCTATTATTATTATTATTATTATTATTAATTATTTTCCTTGGATTAACTTTTGTTCTGTTTTAAGATTTTATTTATTTGACACAGAGAGAGAGAGAGAGAACACAAGCAGGGGGATCCAGAGAGAGAGAAGCAGGCTCCCTGCTGAGCAGGGAGCTGAATTTGGGCTCTATCCCAGGGCCCTGGCATCATGACCTGAGATGAAGGCAGACAGATATTTAATAGACTGAGCCACCCAGGCACCACTTAACTTTTTTTTTTTTTTTAAATGTTTGATCTATCTCACACTATTTTACTTACTTATGCAAACTTATTCATACATACTAATATGAAAACTCAGACAAAGGGGTTATAACATTGGGTCCAAATATTTGACTTCTCTTCTTGCATCTAACCACTAGTTAGAAATAAGTAGCTATATAGCATGTACTAGGTATAGTTATTGGACTAGTAACTATAGGTGATGGCAAAAAAAAAAAAAAAAGATCTTTGTCTTAGAAGTAGTTCTTTTTTTTTTTTTCCTAAGATTTTGTTTATTTATTTGACACAGAGAGAGAGAGAGAGATCACAAGTAGGCAGAAAGGCAGGCAGCAGGAGAGGGGGAAGCACGCTCCCTACTGAGCAGAGAGCCCCATGCAGGGCTCTATCCCAGGACCCTGAGATCATGACCTGAGCCAAAGGCAGAGGCTTAACCCACTGAGCCACCCATGTGCCCCTTAAAAGTAGTTCTATAGGTGGGAAGACAAAGGAGAAGAAATGTGTAAGAAAAAAAAAATGGAAAAGAAAATCTCTTCAGTGTATAAAATGGTAACAGACACTATTTACCGAGCTGACGGTGCGTGGGTCAGGCACTGTGCTTAGCCCTTGACATGTACCATGTATCTCATTCACAACAGCTCCATTTTACAGATGAGGAAACCGAGGTGGGGGGAATCCTCAGTAACTTGAAATTGGCACTTAACCCCCCATCCAATATAAAAATCATGCTCCAGCTATGTAGTATTGCTTGCTTGATAGAAGAGTAAGGAATAGGATACTTATTTTGCTTTACTTTTTAAAAAATCAGCTGCTTTCTATTTTATCTTTTCCAGCTTTATTGAGATAAAATTGGCATATAAAACGGTGTAAGTTTTAGGTGTACATCTTGTTGATTTGATATCCTCATATATTGCAAAAGGATTACTACCACAGTGTTTCCCTTAACACCTTCGTCCCATCACATAATGACCATCTCTTTTTGGTGGTGAGAACATTTATGATGAGCTTCCTTAGCAGCATTCAATTACTTTTGTATATTTCAGTTGCAAACCTCTTGAATCCCTCAGGATCTTGCACAATTCTGGGAGTGTTGTAAGTATTCTAATTTCCCCAAAGAGGAACTGCAAACCAGGTCACCAGAATTTTGGCAACAGTATTACAAGCTTGAGGTCCAACACCTTTTCTAAAAGGCAGGGCTTAATATAATGGATTTCAGGTAGTTTCCTTATTTGCATGCCCACAAAAGTCTTGATGCCTCCCTAAATTGTTTCATGCCTCTGGTTTTCACCAGACCCTTGGTTTCAGTTGGCCTCCTATAACTTTAAAAGTTAACTCAATCTCCACTTCTTCTATAGAGGAAACAGACTTCCCGAGATGGAGGGGTGGGGGGGACACCACTCCCTCCTTGGTGTTTCGCTAGTTCCTGTCTGTTACCTCTTCACAGCACCCATTATATTGTACTACATAAGTGGTGTGTGTGTGTGTGCGCTTGTGTGCTTGTGTGAATTTATAGAAAAGCCTGGGAGGAGTTCCTTACCATCTGGTGGGGGAGGTAAATACGTAACGTAATAAACATCTCATATCACGCAATGCAGATTTACATGAGATGTCCAGGGCATCTCATGTGTGACATAATATTCACTGACTACTTTAGAAACATTCAATAATTTTTATATTAGGAGATGGTATAATTTAGTGTAGGGAACATAAAAGTTTCCCTGTATGTTCTTAGGGTCCCTCGCTGGGTCTGAAATTTAAACTGACAAAGAGATTAGCAGGAGAAAAGCCTACAAATCTGTCTTTAATATAAGTTTTATGTGACATGGGAACATTCAAAAAGAAATGAAGACCCAAGGAAACAGGTTTAATGAAGACTGAATAGTCCTGTAGAAATAATGTTAGATCAGAGAGCCTGAGGCAATCATAGTGAATTGGGGGAAACTTAGCAAGTCCCGATTGTTAGGATTCTTCTCAGTGCCCCTTTGTCGCAGAGATAACAATGTTCCCTTCCTCCAGGATAAGGGAAGGCACCTCTCACAGAAGAGTTCCAAGACCTGTTTCAGAGAAGGGTGGTGGTGGGGGGAAAGGTGAGAATGATCTTGCTTCTACTGTTTTCTCAAACTCCTCCAGTTTAAAATATTCAATATGCCATATTTTGAAGTAGCATGTCCTGAACTCCATCATTAGTGAAGCATCACTCAAATTGCCCTATTAGAAACTCTGAGATATTAATAGCTGCTCCACGAGAAAAAGAATTTGGTGGTCAAATTAGTTTGATAAATTCAAGGTTGAATAAAGTTAAACTGTTTAATGTGTGCTTTAATTTTTTCCTGCAGTATCTTTCAGAACTCTTACTGTGCTAATGTGCATCGTGAATCATCCAGTATGCAACATTTCCCCATCATATTTGGCCATGGAATTCTTTCTTCTCCAGGTACCATAGAACACAGTGTGGCGATACTGGATTTCATGGTTGAGAGTAAAATATGATATCAGTGTCGTCATAGATTAGTTGCTTGATTTTCATCACCTCTTTAAGCCTTCGTGTACTTATCTACATACGCAGGTAATTCCTATATTTCATACTGTTGGCAAAATACAAGAAGGTTATAAAATGTCCAGGAGTCCTCTGTAGATGAATAATTATGATTGTTAATAATAGTATGTCCAGCAGCTGACTACTCATTGTTAGACCCCCCCCATCACTTTGCAGAGTTCTGGATCTGAAGACTGTCTCACATGACCCAGCTTTAGCATGTAGGTGGCCCAAAAAAGGCTTCCCTACTATCTTTTGCACTTTAACAGGATCTGAGTCAATATTAGATCAGTCCTCCTCTGGTCTGGTCCTAGTGCTTATCATCTGCTTATGAAAAACAAAAATAAGATAAAGAAGAAATAATGTTGAACAAGATAACCTCTAGAGTTCATGCACTCTAAAATTCTAAGGTGGAACGGAACTCATTCTCAAGTTGCAACAGATGGGAGTTTTTTTTAATACTTTCTAACTGGGCAGATGAGAACAAAAGTCCTTGTCATGCACTACTTTATTTTTTTTCACTTAGAAAAGCAACTTTATTCCCATCAGTATTCTTTTTTTTTTTTTTTTCCAGATTTTATTTATTTATTTGAGAGAGAGAGAGAGAGAAAGCACAGAGCAAGAGGGAGAAGCAAGCTCCCTGCTGAGGAGGGGAGGTGGGGCTCAATTCCAGGACCCTGGGATCATGACCTGAGCTGAAGGCAGCCGCTTAACCCACTGAGCCACCCAGGCGCCCCTCCCGTCAGTATTCTTGATATAAATGAATTTGACTTTTGTAAATCTGTTTTTTTAGACCACTGTATTATTTTATATAAGTCTATAGCACTAATCCTAGAATGTATCATTTTGACACATCCCCTCCGACCTCTGTTTATGAACAAGTGCAGCTGTGAGGTGGTTCTTTGTGTAGGATTAAGAAACACTGAAGTTCTTGAAATAAGCCAGATGTTTTTGTTTTCAAAGGAAAAGATGACACTTAATGAAGCGTTTATTTACAACTTCACAACAGAACAGAAGATTATAAGAAAACTTTCAAGAGACATGGGTCATAGAAACCAAGTGAACACGACAGCTTTCCCAACTTCACAGCCCAGAAAATGTTGCAAAAGACAAAAATTGACCTTGCACTGGCTGTAAATATTTGTAGTTTGAGGTTAAAATGACCAATAAATTACAGTGAGAGTTACTATCTTGAAGAGGGACTTCCACTTTGACCTTATTTGGTTTCTATCCACTTTGTCAACTGTATGTCCAGTAATATACACATAAAAAGAGTGATTTTTAAAAACACGCCCTGAAATTAGTGTTTATGCAAACTTCAGGAAAATGTTTTGGATAAACGCTCTCAAAACAAAAAACCACTTTTATTTTTAAATTTAAGTATAGTTGATTTACTATAGCCTATTCATTTCCGGTGTCCATCATCGTGACGGCCCCCATGATAAGCCTAGTTACCATCTGTCACCATACAGAGTTACTACGATATTTACTGTATTCCCTATGCTGTACATTGTATGTTACTAATTTGTTTTGTAACTGCAAGTTTGTACCTGTTTAATTCCCTTATGTTGCCCAAACTCCTTCCGGCTTCGCTACCTAACCGTTTATCTTCTCTATCAAAAGAGCCGTGTTTTAAAAATCGAGACTGAAAATACTCGTAACTCGTCAGTAATTATTCCCTGCAGACACCATATTTGGTATTCCAAACAGTGGTTAGTTTTCAAGAAAATCCCCACTGGAGCGGAGCTTTCTTTTTCTTCCCTTCCTTTTGCCCTCTTTCTTCTTTCTTGTTTCAGGAACCCAGCTGTTGCGCTGAGTGACGGGCACACTGGGGAATCCGGCCGCGCCAGCCTCGGGCACCCTGGCGGCCCGCCCAGCCCGCGGGGCTCCCGGCCACTCGCGCGGGCGCTCGCTCCGCGCACCGCCCAGCCGGCTTTCCCGGAAGGGCGGGCGCGCTGGGCTCCCGGCGCTGTGTTCCACCGGCGAGGCGGGTGAGTGGGCGCCCTGCCCGGTTCCCTGGCTGCCAGCCCTGCTCCTAGAGAGGCCCGCGTCGGGGGGAGGCATGGTCCGCGGCGCCCTGCCCACCGCAACGCCGGCAGGGCCCCTCGGGGCGCTCACGGCTCGCTATGGGACGGGGCCGCCGGGACCGGGCCGCCGGGACCGGGGTGGAGGAGGGGGCGAGGCGGGCTGCGTCAGTCCCCCCCTCTTCCCCGCCCACCCCGTCTCCCCTCCGCCCTTCCCCCTTCTGCCCCCTCCCCCCGCCCCACCCGCTGCCTCTGACCTAGTCTTCTTCGAGCTGTTTGCTTAATTTCGGAAATTGACATGTAAAATGGTCTGTGTTTCCCCACTGTTTCAGTAGTGTCCTCTAGAGAGTTTAGGGAAACTTGATTCCTTAAGGAGATTTACTCTCCCAGGCCCGTGCAGGGTTTGGCAGTCGTGCCTCACTTTTCAGAATACCCAGGGATTTTCTCGAAAGAGATATCTAAAGGAGAATGCGATGTTTTTCTGTCTATAGACCATGCATACTTTAAAAAAAAAAACAACTATATTTGTGTATAACCATTTTATTAAGCACCCCCTCCTTTGTTCCGTCCCCTCATTTCCTTTCTTTTTGCTGCCAGGCAGGCATGTGGAAAGATTCCGTTCTGTATCACCTGGGACAAAGGGATATGAGTACAGGAAGATAGGTGATGGTGGGTGGCGGTGATAACAATGACCACCGACTTAGTGGCTTAAAACCCGCAAGTTTAGGGACACTGGGGTGGCTCAGTCGGTTGGGCGTCTGCATTTGGCTGGGGTCGTGGTGCTGGGGTCCTGGGAGCACGTCCCATATCCAGCTCCTTGCTCAGTGGGGAGCCTGCTTCTTCATCTGCCAGACACTCCCCCGGTTAGTGCTCTCTCTCTCTGATAAATAAATAAATAAAATCTAAAATAACAACGACAATAATAAACCAAACAACAACAAACCACAGACTTACTATTTTAACAGTCTGTAGGTTAGAAGTCCAACCTGGATTCCACTGGCCTAAAATTAAGGTGTCTGCAGGGTTGCCTTCCTTTCTGCAGGCTACTGGGGGGAATCTATTTTATGGGTTTTTAACCCCTTCTTCTATATGTTGCCCACCTTCCGGAACTTAGTGATGCCCTTTCTCCTTATAAAAAGGCAGCAACGCTGCATCTCTCTTGACCGTTATTCCGTTATCACACCTCACTCTGACTTTGCTCTTCTGCTTTCCTCTTTTACTTTTAAGGGCCCTCATGCTTATATTGGCTCTACAGATAATTCAGAATGATTTTCATATTGAAGTCCGCTTTAATTCAATCTTAATTCAATCTACAACCTTAATTGTAATTTGACATATTCATAGACTCTGGGGATTAGGCGTAGGTATCTTTGAGAGGGTCATTGTTTTGCCTACCATATAATGGCATAAAAGGAAGCCTGTTAGCATACAGTCCACTCATGCAAAGAAGGAAAGTATCCAGGCCCTAAATATACCAGAAAAAGTTCTGGGAATATTTTGTAGTAGTAGACTATTTATATGAGTTAAATATATTGAGAATCTTCATTACAAGCACTTAAGAATATTGATTTTTTTTTTTTGAAGATTTTATTTATTTGACAGAGACACAGAGAGAGAGAGAGAGAGAGAGAGAGAGAGGAAACACAGCCTAGGGAGTGGGAAGTGAGAGAGGAGCAGGGAGCCCGATGCAGGGCTCAATCCCAGGACTCTGGGATCATGACCCCAGCCAAAGGCAAATGCTTAATGGCTGAGCCCCCCAGGTGCCCGAAGAATATTGATTTTTTTTTTTTAAAGCAATAAAGAAATGTTGCCATTTCTGCTTTCTGGAAACGTAATAACAAAACTTCATATATGGTATGTCCTGAACAGAACAAGATACCACACAATTCTGTAAATAATGAGAGTTTTCAGTGTGTTTGCTTATATTATGCTCTGAATAGATGCAGGGAGGAGTGGGCATGGTCCTTGGCCTCAAGGTCATGACCATCTAGTCATGGAAAGTGACATGGGTACAAAAATAATTGAAGCTCTCTAAAAGAGCTAAAAGAGGGAGAAGTAATGTCCTGGAGGGGAATCAGAATAGGCTTTAAAAACTTGGGGGAAACTTGGGGTAGACCTTAAGAACAGTAGAATTTCATTGAGGTTGGGAGGAAAGGAAGGATATGACATATTAAGGGACAAGAGGGAGAAGAAGGACCCTGTGAGTGTTTAGTGTGGTTAGGGTACTTAGTCTAGAAGTTATCTAAATAAGACTAGAAAATTTTGGTTAGATTGTGTAAGACCTTGGATGACTATTGGGTGTCATTGTAAGGACTAGGTAGGTGGTTGGTGCAATAGGGAGGTACTGATACATTTTGAAATCATCTCAGACTTACAGAAAAGTTGCAAGTACAATACAAACAGCTTCTCTTTTTCTGGAATTATTTGAGAATAAGATTCTACCTTCAAGACCCATTACCCTGCAATTTCTTGAATATATATTTCCTACAAAAAAGGCATTTAAAAAAAAAGATTTATTTATTTATTCGACAGATCACAAATAGTCAGAGAGGCAGGCAGACAGAGGGGGTGGGGAAGAAGGCTCCCTAATAAGCAGAAAGCCCCATGCGGGGCTTGATCCCAGGACCCTGGGATCATGACCTGAGCCGAAGGCAGAGGCTTTAGCCCACTGAGCCATCCAGGTGCCCCCCAAAAAGGTATTCTTTATGTAACTAAAATTCAGTAACCAAAATCAGGAAATTAATATTGATACTTTACTGCCATCTAATCCTTGGATCCAGTTCACATTCTGACAGTTGTGCAGATAATATCCTGTATAGCAAAAAGACCCAGTTCAGAGTCATGCATTGCATTTAGTTATGATGAACCTGTAGTCTCCTGACCAAAAGAGTTTCTCAGCCTTTCCCTGGCTTCCATGAACTTAACACGTTTGAAGAGAACAAGGCGGTTTGTTTAATGTTTCTTCCTGCTGAGATTCAGATTATTTATCTTTGGCAGGGATATCACAGAAGTCATGCTGTGTTCTAAGTGCACTCTATCAGATGGCAGATGATTTTGACATATTTCATTATTTACTTTGATTATTTTATTATGGTGCTGTCTGCCTGGCTTCTTCAATATAAAGCTACTTTCCTCCCTTTGAAATTTTTTTTCTTTTCTTTTCTTTTCTTTTTTTTTTTTTTTTTAAGATTTTATTTATTTGAGGAGCGCCTGGGTGGCTCAGTGGGTTAAGCCTCTGCCTTCAGCTCAGTTCACGATCTCAGGGTCCTGAGATGGAGCCCTGCATCAGGCTCTCTACTCAGCGGGGAGCCTGCTTCCCCTCCCACCCCACCCTCTGCCTGCCTCTCTGCCTACTTGTGCTCTCTATCCGTCAAGTAAATAAACAAAATCTTTAAAAAAAAATAGATTTTATTTATTTGACAGAGAGAGGACACAAGCAGGAGGAGTGGCAGGCAGAGGGAGAGGGAGGGAGAGAGCCGGATGCGGGGCCCTATCCCAGCCAGGACTCTGGGATCATGACCTGAGCTGAAGGCAGCCGCTTAACCCACTGAGCCACACAGACAACCCCCTGCCTCCCTTTGAAATTAATAAGTATCTTATGGGGAAGTATTTTGAAACTAACTAGATGGACATTTTCTCACTAAAATTTCGGTTTGTGTATGTGTATATGCATGTCAGTATGGACTTGTAGTTTTTCTTTTACTCAGTGGATTTAATCATTACTGTCATTATTTTTTTATGCTTATTTTATTCTTAGACTTGGCTAGTGAGAACTTTTTCAGGCTGGATTCTGTGTTTTTTTTTTTTTTTTTTTTTAAATGCCCTCATCATTCTTTGAACACTTTCTTGCTTTCTGGCACCTTAAGGTGCTTATTTTGTATTTTTCCTGTCCCAGTCCTGTAATCAAACATTTCTCTGAAAACCCTTGGTGCCTTGTAAGGGAAAATGGTATTAGAAACCAAATTCTTGGGTGTCCGGGTGGCTCAGTCATTAAGCGGCTGCCTTCGGCTCAGGTCATGATCTCAGGGTCTTGGGATCGAGGCCTGCATCGGGCTCCCTGCTAAGCTGGAAGCCTGCTTCTCCCTCTCCGGCTCTCCCTACTTCCGTTCCCTCTCTCTCTGTGTCTCTGTCAAATAAATAAATAAAATATTAAAAAAAAAAAAAGAAACCTAATTCTTGGTGCTAGGTGTACTCATTGCTTCCAGGCCCTCTGAGCAGACAGAGTTAGGGATATATACATAGATACGTACAGTGTGTATACGTGTGAGCACACACACACATATCTCCATCTCTGTATCTTTCTCTCATTCTGTCTCATTGGAAGTCTCATGGAACTGATAGTTCCATTTCCCATCCACAGCATTCATTCTAGTTTTCTGTCTTTCTTTCCTTTTTTTTTTTTAAATTTTATTTATTTATTTGACAGACAGAGATCACAAGTAGGCAGAGAGGCAGGCAGAGAGAGAGGAAGGGAAGCAGGCTCCCTGCTGAGCAGAGAGCCCAATGCAGGGCTTGATCCCAGGACCCTGGGATCATGACCTGAGCCGAAGGCAGAGGCTTTAACCCTCTGAGCCACCCAGGTGCCCCTAGTTTTCTGTCTTTCTATATTTATAATTAACTTCTCTGGCAATGAAGAACCTGACTCCTTTTATCCTCTGTATCTTTACTTACTTGAAAATCTTGTTTATGTACCTTTGGCTGCTGGAAGCTCTAGGCTTATCTTGTGTATTTCCTGACCCATAGGTAGAATCAGCCATTGTTCCAGGGAACCGTGGTTCCCTTTACTGGGGAATAGATTAGAAACCAAGATCTAGGTGCTCTCTGATCCCCTCTGTTTTTGGACATTGCTTGTGTTCACACTAATTTTTTGCCAGTCTTCTGTTTTCTTAAAGGAGGAATAAATATTTTTCCTGTTTTTTTTTTTTCCTATAGGAATAGTGAGAATTTAGCTACTTGAAATTTTAGAGGATTATATCACAAACTGGTTATTAATGTGCCTCGAACGCAATAAAAACAGTTATGATATTTCTTGATTCATTTTTGATCTGGGACCTCTCCATCTCAGCAAATTCATATGCAGGCAAATATACTTTTTTGTGCCATGGATTCCTTCCCAGTCTGATAAAGCTCATGGACCTTAAAAAAAAAAGTTTTTAAATGTACAAAGTAAAATATATAGAATTACAAAGGAAATTAATTATATTGAAATATCATTATCAGAATATTAAGCAAATTTTTAATATAGTAATATATATCAATATATTTACATTATATTATAAGACCTAGTAGTGAATTTAATAACTGCCATAATTTTGAAGGAAAATTTTACACAAACTATATTTCAGGATATCTGCAATAGTTACGACTTTTTTTTTTTTTTAAATTTATTTATTTGACAGACGGAGATCACAAGTAGGCAGAGAAGCAGGCAGAGAGAGAGGAGGAAGCAGGCTCCACGCCGAGCAGAGAGCCTGATGCGGGGCTCGATCCCAGGACCCTGAGATCATGACCCGGGCCGAAGGCAGAGGCCTTAACCCACTGAGCCACCCAGGCGCCCCTAGTTACGACATTTTATGAAAATATTTGTGCCGTCTTGGCGATGTTTGTCAGCACCTGCTGCAGGTGCTGCAAATGCAATGTGGCTTGTTGCCTATATTCGTATTTGAAGGGAATGCTAAATTTCAACCAGAGAGTATTAGAAGTAAAGATGTAATTTTTTTCCTGTTCCAGTGTATGGACTAGGGAGCATCTGTGAAAACTCCAGATAAGAACTTCTGTACATGTAGGGACTCTTGGGTGCCTCAGTCAGTTAAACATCAGACTCTTGATTTCAGCCTGGGTCATGATCTCAGAGTCATGGGCTTGAGCCCAGCATTGGGCTCCATGCTGGGTGTGGAGCCTACTTAAAAAAAGTTTAGAAAGGGGCACCTGGGTGGCTCAGTTGGTTAAGTATCTGCCTTTGGCTCAGGTCAGGATCCCAGGGTCCTGGGATCAAACCCCACATCAGGCTCCCTGCTCAGCAGGAAGCCTGCTTCTCCCTCTCCTGCTTCCCCCTACCTTGTGTTCCCTCTCTCACTGCCTCTCTCTGTCAAAGAAATAAAATCTTTAAAAAAAATTTTTAGAAAGAACTACTGTACATGTAAGGAGTTTGGCAGGGGTGCTTTTTAGTCCATTTACATTTGGGAAATACAATAGGAAGAATTGGATGTTTAAACTTTTTTTTTTTTAAGATTTTATTTATTTATTTGACAGAGAGAGACACAGCGAGAGGGGGAACCAGGCGCCCCAGAATTGGATGTTTAAATCAAAATCTTTGAAAAGACCAAAATAGTAATCTTTTAAAATGGGGTACCATATATGATTAAGATGTGAACTTCAAAGGAATATTAATACCTGTCATTTTCTATTATTGTGTTGAAAAGCAAATGATTTTTAGAATGCTTTTATATATTTATAGATGTGAAAGTTATTTGAAATATAGACTTTGTTCAAATATAAGCCATATGATAGTAAAGACTTTGATGATAGGAAAAAAGTTACAGCAAAGAAGAGATGTTTCTTCTTCTGCAAAATAGTAAAAGTTATTTCTTTCTTCTTGAATTTGTGTATATATACTATTTTTAAAAATATTTACTTTTTGAAATAATTAGGTAATCATGGCAACCGATGAGGATAACAAAAAACAAGTTCTTAAGGAGCCTTTGTCAGATAAAGAATTTATGAACGATGAACAAAGAGAGGTAAATATTACTATTAAAATTAATTTTTGTCTATTAGTTTTGCAGTGAGGGATGTTTTAGATGTTTTTGCCCAACATTACTTTAAATTTGGGAAGATTTTAGAGTTTTCCAAATTTTTTTCTTCCATTATTCAAGCCTTGTGAAAACAATCATACTTCTGTTCTTTTTCTTACAACATTAGCTGTTTTTTCTTTCCCTCCATCCTTTCTTTGATTTGCACCCTGATGTTAAGAGCTTAGTTAGCAATTATCTGATCAGACCCAAGAGGAGATGGAGGCTCAGGTGGCTTAAGCCACTTACCCAGGGCTGTATGTCTGACATGTAAAGGAAGTTTACTGCGGGAATCCAGCAAAAACATTTTTTAATTGCCCCCAAGTAACATATGTCCACAATTACAGTGCAATTTACTTCTTCATGTTTTAAAGATTTATTTATTTACTTTAGAGAAAGCACATGACCAGCCTGAGCTTGTGGTGAGGAGGGGCAGAGGGAGAGGGAGAGAGAGTCATAAGCTGTCTCCACACTGAGCAGAGTCCAACACTGAGGGCTCAGTCTCATGACCCTGAGACAATGATCTGGGTGGAAACCAAGTTGGATGCTTCCCTGACTGTGCCACCCAGATGTCCCTCTAGTGCAACTTGAAAGTCATATTGTTGTCACATAGCCAGGAAAGAGTTGATAAGATTTAGGTCTGGCTCTCAATCCTTGCTCTACTAGAAAAATGTCTATGACTTTGGTCTAGTGTGAAAGGTAGTTTCCCTGCTTGTATAAAGGAGATAATAATACTTCTCAGAGGTAGGAGAATCTGCAGGTGATAGTGTGTTTTTTTGGCTTTTATCAGGGTGATAGAAAGTTAGCTTCTTTAATTCATTTAGAAAAATGAGGTCAGGGGCTGTTGAATTTTTTGATGTTGTTTGATTTTTTTTTTAGAGATTAATTGATGAAATTGTAAAGGAAAATACTCAGTTAAAGGAGGAGATCCAAAGGCTTGAAACTGAGTTACAAGAGGCCACCGGAAACTTCCAGGTACTTTTTTTTTTTTTTTTTTTTGCAGGGGGGACTTTTTTCAAATGTTATTTTTATTTTTTAAAAACTTTTTTTTTCAATTACTATTAACATATATTTTTTGTTTCAGGGGTACAGGTCTGTGATTCATCAGTCTTACACAATACATAGCGCTCACCATAGTACATGTCCTCCCAATGTCTGTCACCCAGCCACCTCATCCCTCCCCGGTCCCTCCACTCCAGCAACGCTCAGTTTGTTTCCTGAGATTAAGAGTCTCTTATGGTTTGTCTCCCTTTCTGGTTTCTTCTTGCTTCATTTTTCCTCTCTTTCCCTGTGATCCTCTGCCTTGTTTCTCAAATTTCTTACATTAGTGAGATCATATGATAAGTGTCTTTCTCTGATTGACTTATTTCACTTAGCATAATACCCTCTAGTTCTATCCACATCATTGCAAATGGCAAGATTTCATTTTTCTGAAGGCTGACTATTATTTCATTGTATATATATATATATACCACATCTTCTCCATCCATTTATCTGTCGATGAACATCTGGGCTCTTTCCATAGTTTGGCTATTGTGGACATTGCTGCTATGAACATTAGGGTGCATGTCCCCCCTTCGGATCACTACATTTATATCTTTAGGGTAAATACCCAGTAGTGCAATTGTTGGGTCATAGGGTAGCTCTATTTTCAACTTTTTGAGGAACCTCCATACTGTTTCCCAGAGTGGCTACACCCGCTTGCATTCCCACCAACAGTGTAGGAGAGTTCCCCTTTCTCCGCATCCTCGCCAACATCTGTTGTTTCCTGACTTGTTAATTTTAGCCATTCTGACTGGTGTGAGGTGATACCTCATTGTGGTTTTGATTTGTATTTCCCTGAAGCCAAGTGATGTTGAGGCCTTTTTCATGTGTCTGTTGGCCATTTGGGTGTCTTTGCAGAAATGACTGTTTATGTCTTCTGCCCATTTCTGATTAGATTATTTGTTTTTTGGGTGTTGAGTTTGGTAAGTTCTTTTTTTTTTTTTTTTAAGATTTTATTTATCCATTTGACAGACAGAGATCACAAGCAGGCAGAGAGGCAGGCAGAGAGAGAGGAAGGGAAGCAGGCTCCCCGCTGAGCAGAGAGCCCAATGTGGGGCTCGATTTCAGGACCCTGGGACCACGGCCCGAGCCAAAGGCAGAGGCTTCAACCCACTGAGCCATCACGGTGCCCCGAGTTTGGTAAGTTCTTTATAGCTTTTGGATACTAGCCCTTTATCTGATACGTCATTTGCAAATGTCTTCTCCCATTCTGTTGGTTGTCTTTTGGTTTTGTTGACTGTTTCCTTTGCTTTTTATGTTGATGAAGGCCCAGTAGTTCATTTTTGCCCTTGCTTCCCTTGCCTTTGGCGATGTTTCTGGGAAGAAATTGTTGCGGCTGAGATTAAAGAGGTTACTGCTTGTGTTCTCCTCAAGGAATTTGATGGACTCCTATCTCACATTTAGGTCTTCCATCTATTTTGAGTCTATTTTTGTGTGGTATAAGAAAATGGTACAGTTTCATTCTTCTGTATGTGACTGTCCAGTGTTCCCAACACCATTTGTTGAAGACACGTCTTTTTTCCTTTGGACCTTCCTTCCTGCTTTGTTGAAAATTAGTTGACCATAGAGTTGAGGGTCCATTTCTGGTTCTCTATTCTCCTCCATTCATCTGTGTGCCTGTTTTTGTGCCATCTCAGGTACCTCTTTAATGATTAGCATTGGTGGTATAGTGGTGAGCATAGCTGCCTTCCAGATACCTCTTTAATGATTTTATGTATCACATTTTTAACTGACACCATTTTTCAGAAAAACCAATTTTAGTTATACAAAATTCACTTTTAAAACATTGTGGTCATTGATGGCACCATTGTTTGTAATAGCCCCAAACTGAAAATAACTCAACTGCCCCTCCATAGTAGAATGAATTATTAATTTGGGGTGTATGCACGCAGTGGAATCCTGCACAGCAATGAGAATGAATGGACTACAACTACGTGCAGCCACATGCACAAATTTCATAAATACAATGTTGAGCCAGAAAAGATAAAAGAGGGCACACCATATACTTGCATTTAAATAAAGCACAAAAGGAGGATGTTAGCAGTTAGTGTCCTGGTTATCTTCGGAGGTACCAGCGAGCCCAATGAGGCTTCTGGGGTGTTGGTCATATTCTGATTATTGATCAGGGTTCTGATCACATATGTGTGTGATCACTTCGTAGAATTTCATCTGGCTGTGCATTTCTGATAATACACTTTTTTTTTAAAGGTTTTATTTATTCATTTGACAGATAGAGATCATAAGTAGGCAGAGAAGCAGGAAGCAGGCTCCCTGCTGAGCAGAGAGCTGGATGTGGGGCTTGATCCTAAGACACTGGGATCATGACCTGAGCCGAAGACAGAGGCCTAACCCACTGAGCCACCCAGGCGCCCCTGATAATACACTTTTAAAATTTATGTATATATTTTTGTTTTTCTATGTATGTATATGTTCGCTCAAAAACAAAAAAAAATGATGGTCATGATCAGTCACTTTTGGATCAAATTCTTGTCTTCTCACTAAGTTCCTTTATTGTTCTTCTCATCCAAGTAATTTAAATGAATTTTACAGTTAAAAAAAAAATTGGATGTATATCTTCACCATTTAAATTCTCTCCTAAATTTTCCTGTACTTGAGTTAGGCATTCACCCTTTTTTTCTTCATAGCAACTTGTATTTTTAAAAAAATATTTTATTTATTTATTCATGAGAGATAGAGTGACAGAAAGAGGCAGAGGGAGAAGCAGACTCCCCCAGGAGCAGGGAGCCTGATGCAGGACTCGATCCCAGGACCCTGGGATGATGAACTGAGCTGAAGCCAGGTGCTTAACCGATTGAGCCACCCAGGCACCCAAGAACTCACACTGTTAAAAAAAAAAAAAATCCTGTTTTTAGTTTTAATGCTTAGAACATTGTCACTTTTTGTTTCTGAAATGGGGGATAAGATACTGAATATCAGGAAGTGGGGTTCGCCATGTTTATGGGACTTAGTGAACACTGTTACAGTTCTGGTTACTTCTCAGACTGGAGAGTAATCACTTAATCCTACAATTCAAAGGGCCTTGGGAACGGAGCCAGCTCAGCTTATCCAATTTACAGAGGACTGAAACTGTGGTCTAGGGAGCATAGGTGAGTGGCTCCTGGCCAAGTGTGCTCAAGACCAGAATCAGGCACTCTAATTCCAGAAAGCTCTCGACTTTTCAGCATTATATTGAGTACTTCCACAGTGTTGGGAAAATCTCTGCCTTTTCTCAGACACTGCCAATTATTTTGAAATTGGATTTATGCGGATACAGAACAAATGTGAGATTAGGTCAAATAACACTGAATATTTCTAACCCCTTTGTGATAACACAAACATTCTCTTTCAGCATATAAAATATGGGAAATAGAAATGCAAACAACAGATTCATTTGTGCATGTATGTATAATTGTATATGCCTGTTATTCCCAATGATTTTTATTTTTTTTTTAAAGATTTTATTTATTTATTTGACAGACAGAGATCACAAGTAGGCAGAGAAGCAGGCAGAGAGAGATAGGAGGAAAGAGACTCTCTAGGCAGAGAGGCAGGCAGAGAGAGATAGGAGGAAACAGACTCTCCGCTGAGCCGAGAGCCTGATGCGGGGCTCGATCCCAGGACCTGGGACCATGACCCAAGCTGAAGGCAGAGGCTTTGACCCACTGAGCCACCCAGGCGCCCCTCCCAATGATTTTAAACAGATAACTACAACCATGTAAATTTATCTTTCAGATTACGAATTTTGCTGATAGTCTCTCTTCACATTTTTATAAATCTAAGTTTGATAATGGTTAAAAAGTTGATGGACAGGTGTTGGGTAAGGGGGAATTTAAATTTGATAAATGTTAAATCCTATAATTCAGGAGTCTTTATTTTTAGATAAAATTATCTGGGTTTGCTATCAAAATAAACATGGTATATACTCAACTCTAGTTTATACTGCTTTGTAGTGAGAGTAAACGTACTAATGATTCCTTGGTAAGATAGCCTGTTATTGGTACAGTTGTTTAAAAGGTGCTTATCTACAGGAATGATGTAGGCTTTAGAATCGAACAGTATACAATATTGGCTAGTGTAAACATTGATTAGAAAAAGTGAGAGATTATGTATTTATAATTTAATCTGGGGAATAATATTAAAGGATCATCATCTGATTACATTACTGAGTACTTACCTAGGAAGAAGTCATTACTAAGGTTATTAAATAAGACCACACTGTATTTTGTGGGGTTCTGAAATCAGTGGAGAATGAATTATTGGATGTTCAAATCACATTATCACAAGAAGGGCTTAAGTTATTTCTTATCTTGATTTTAATCAAACATTTCTGTTTAAATTAGATTAAAGAGGATATTCCTGAAACAAAGGTGAAGTTCGCATCTTTAGAGAATCCTGAGAATGACAGCCAGTTTTTAAATATCTCCTGTTCATTTCAAGTGAGCTCACAAGTTCTTTATGAGCTGCAGAAAGGACAAGCCCTTATCACCTTTGAAAAAGAAGAAGGTATGAGTAATGCTAAAAAATTTGACCATGTTACTTTTTGGAAAGCACGGAGACTTTCAAAGAGCTTTCTTAGATATTTGATCTATTGTTTTACAATTTTTATACCTATCATTTCATCTCATCTCATTGTGACATCTTGGGGTAGATAGGATTATCCCGTTTTATGATGAGAAAACTGAGACATTAAGTGCCCTGAGTGTGATCACTTGTTCAGAACATGACGCCTCTGGGACTCAAGCCCAGGTATTGTTATGTCCAATACTATTTTTCTTTCTTTTTTTTTTTTTTTTAAAGATTTTCATTTATTTATTTGACAGACATCACAAGTAGGCAGAGAGGCAGGCAGAGAGAGAGAGGAGGAAGCAGGCTCCCCACTGAGCAGAGAGCCCGATGCGGGGCCCGATCCTAGGACCCTGAGATCATGACCCCAGCCAAAGGCAGAAGCTTTAACCCACTGAGCCACCCAGATGCCCCCAATACCATCTTTCTACACCTGCTACCTCCAAGTGATGCTAGTAATAATGTTTTAAGCTGGCAGAGCTCTACTCAGGTCTCAGAGGGTTCCCACAGACATCTCATTTTATACTCTCATGACTCTCTGAAAGCAATATGATAGGAGAATTATTATTTACATCTTGTAACTAAGAAAACAAATTCTTGGGTGTTTAAGTGACTTACCTAAGAGCACATTTGTGGTGAATGGAAAAAGCCCAAGAGTCAGAGATTTGGGACCTGATGTTAGCTGAATCTGTCATGGTGTAGGACCCTGTTCGGAGCTGGGGGCACAATAGGACAGTCTGGCTTTCAGTGCCAACTTAGTCCATTTCTAGAGTGTGATTTGGGTTGGGTTCTTTCTGAATCTCAGATTTTTATGACAGCCTTTGTGGTAGTACCTACCTCATGGGTTGGGTTGAGTATTAAATGAGAAATGCTGACATAATATTTAGCACAGTGTCTGACACATAATAAACACCTAGTAAATGAGAGCTGTCGTTGCTACTCATTAGGAATTTTCCAGATAAAGAAACTGAAACTTAAAGAAGACAAAGAACTTGCTCAAGGTCTATATAGTTAAAAATTGCAAAACTGAGAGTCAAACCCATGAGTATCCATGTGCCTAGTACTAGACCAACAGTGCCTGGAGCAGGCCACTCTTCCAGGCCTTTGGTCTTCTGTTTGTCCAGTTATGGGGTGGGGTCAGATGGTCTTAAGCTTTTCCAGTGCTCAGATTCTGATAATCTAGGATTATAACTTGTATCTCCTTACACTTGGTATCTCACTATAGCCTGCAAATAAATATTAAAAAGAAAGGCATTCTAGTAGGTCAGCATGTGAACATACAGTTGGTTCACCTGTATGGGTCCACCCTGGATCTACCCTTGAGCTGAGGGCAGAGGAGAAGGCCAAGGGTGCTGTGTTGTCATTTGGCAATGGTAATGGGGATATGACCAAAAGACAGAAGTGAGGATTTGGGAGGCAGGGATTCTGTGCAGGAATTACCCGGGAATGCTGGAACCAGGGTTGTCTTCAGAAATAGCTGCATCGCTGCTTCCATTCTGGGCACGGCTCTGAGGTCTTGCTCTCCTGGGACAACTTTGGGCTTATACACGATTAAACAGGAGTTGGCCTTTGATAGAGTTACAAAAGTTGAAACGCAAGTGGTCCTCTCAGCTGCGTCAGATAACCAGATGTTGGAGGTTTGGGTGGGGGGTGTGGGAGGGAAAGGGCATCATCTAAGTATTACTTCATTGACATTTTCTGTTATTGTTGCCTGTTGTCATTAACAAAAAAAAATTGTAATTCAAGTTATCAAGTCATATCATGGTACAATGAGTGCGAATTCCCACATGACAACGCCCTGCCTTTTAGCCTATTTCTCTCTTCCTTCAGCTGTGATGTGTGTGCTGTCTGGTTGTCATAAACACATGTGAGATTTATAAGACCAGGAGTGGGCATCTCTTATCGTCATGACAAATTAGAGTAAGCAGCTCTGTATTAACAACTGAAGTGTTATAAACTCTCATGTCACACAGTTAAAAATAAATGCACACCCACATGCATTTTAAACTGAAATATAGTTGCTATCTGGAGTTCTAATGATTTTTGGCATAATTACATTACTGAGCCTCTCCCATTTGTGCAAATAAATTGGATTTGATAGTTTTGTGATTGGTATAGGCTATCATTTTAGTAAAGTGATTTCAAGAGCATTTTAGCAAAAGTAGAAGTCCTCATTAAATATAGCAAAAACATAGAAAAGACTCACACTTTGAGAAGTTGACAAATGATAAATAAGATTGTCAGAATGCCACTGACCCACACAACTTTTTCCTACTTACTCAACATGGAAGAAGTTTCTGGCTGTGCTTTAATTAATGTACTAAGGGAATTCTGTCATCATTCTGTCAACAGGGGAATTCTAGAGGGTGTGTGCTGTGCTGAAATAAAATATGAATTTGAAGGCTCACCAGGCTTATCTCTTAGGAAGTGAGTCTAGAACTTGATGACGCTTTCTCATTATAGCTTTTTTCCCAGTTTTCCTGAGAAATAATTGATGCATATCACTAAGTTTAAGGTGTATGACATGATGGTTTGATGAATGTATATTGTGAAACAGTGACCCAGCAGGTGCAGTCAACATCCATCTTCTCATACAGGTGCAATAAACAGAATTCCCATAAATTCAACAAAAAAGGAAAAAACTTTTTTTTGCTTGTAATAAGAACACTTAGGATCTACTCTCTTAACAGTTTTCCTATATACCACACGGCATGTTGTACGTTACATCCCTGGTACTTTTTCATCTTATAATTAGAAGTTTGTACCTTTTGACTACTTTGTAATTACTGATGTATTTTGACATTCCGACATTAATATATTTATTTGCCACTTTGGCGGCAAGAGCAATAACACTTGGAAGTCCTAGGAAAATTTTAAAAATTAGATCCTTTAAAATGAAAGGAAAGTTAAAATTTTTAGGATAATTTGTTCTTAAACTGAAAATGAAAACGTTTATTCAAGTATTGGCAGTTCATACTCCCAAATAACTTTTCAGTTGCCCAGAACATCATCAGGATGGGGAAGCATCATGTGAAGATAGAAGATGTAAATGTGGAGGTTTTGGCCAAGCCAGTTCCATTAAATTCAGGAGTCAGATTCCAGGTAACGTGGTGATTATTGCCTTCTAGATTTCTATCAGGTGTGAACACTTTTCTCACCCCTGTTGCTGAGTGTGGAATGATTTCCCAGGTTCATGAAGCGTACTCTAAGGTGAAGATCAACGTTACTGAAATTCCTGATGGATTGCCCGAAGATCAGATGAGAGACAAGCTAGAACTAAGCTTTTCTAAGTCCAGAAACGGAGGCGGGGAAGTGCTCCGCGTGCAGTACGATAAGCCGTCCCGCAGTGCTGTGATCACGTTCACGGAACCTGGAGGTATTCGCCCAGTTAGGCAGTTACAGAGTGCTTTACCGTTTAAATTATGTTCTGCTGTTTCTTTTCTTTTCTTTTTTTTTTTTTTTTAGATTTTTAAAATTTATTTGACACAGAGAGAACAAGAGTGTGCACAAGCAGGGGGAGTGGGAGAGGGAGAAGCGGGCTTCCCATGAGCAGGGAGCCTAACTCAGGGCTCGATCGCATGACCCCGAGATCATGACCTGAGCCGAAGGCAGATGCTTAACCCACTGAGCCACCCAGGCTCCCCTCTTTCTTTTCTTTTCTTTTCTTTTTTTTTTTTAAAGATGTATTTATTTATTTTCAAGAGTGAGAGTGAGTGAGCTCGAGAGGGACAGGTGAAGAGGGATAGATACTCTTTTTTTTTTTTTTTAATGGTTTTATTTATTTATTTGACAGACAGAGATCACAAGTAGGCAGAGAGACAGGCAGAGAGAGAGAGGAAGGGAAGCAGGCTCCCCACCCAGCAGAGAGCCCGATGCGGGGCTCCATCCCAGGACCTTGAGATCATGACCTGAGCCAAAGGCAGAGGCTTAACCCACTGAGCCACCCACGCACCCCGGGGATAGACTCTTAAGCAGACTCCATGGTGAGGCAGTTGTGGGCCTCAGTCTCAGGATCCTGAGATCAGGACCTGAGCAGAAGCCAGGAATGGGATGCTTAACCAAGTGCATCACCCAGGCACCCTTATGAACTGCCATTCCTAAAAGTGTTCCTTTTCTACTTCTTTTATTTGGAACTTATTAGATAGCATAATGAGAGGGGATTTTTTTAACCTTATAAAATGGTAGAGTACTGAAAATGATTTCTGGGAACGCTCTTGAGAAATATTATGTATAACGAGCACATCAGTCTTCCTGCATCCTCATCATAGGCCAGCCAAGGAGCCAGGTGTTCAGAAGTATATCTCCTCTGATCTGCAGCACGATTCTGGAGATAGACGTTATACTCATTCTATTGAGGTGGAAACTGAGTCCTTGGGAGGGCAAATGACTTACCCCAAGTTACAGTGGGTATGTGGCAGAGAAATCTAAAAATACGTATGTCTAAGACTGTCACTTCCATCCCACCTGTTTTGACAGATGAGGGTCTCTTAGGTGGAGGGAATAGATTCCAGGGAAGACAAAGGGTGATTGGAAAGAACAGTTAGACATCTGCTCCCTTTATAGATAGAAATGGATCTTTACCAAATCGTCAGAGGAAGGTTTACATTCTTATGATTAAAAATGTAGAATTCTACAGCTGCTTTTGTTAATATGTTCAAGTGATTCTCCATGTAAAACTATCTTGCTCGGGTGCCTGGGTGGCTCAGTGGGTTAAGCCTCTGCCTTCGGCTGAGGTCATGATCTCAGGGTCCTGGGATCAGGCCCTGTATCGGGGCTCCCTGCTTGGCGGGGATCCTGCTCCCCCCCCCCGCCCACCTGCCTCTCTGCTTACTTGTGATCCCTGCCTGTCAAATAAATAAATAAAATATTTTAAAAAATTAAAAAATCCTGCTCTAGTTAATTCAGTTTGTAGGGTTTCCCCTGGGTTTGCACATATAATAGAAATCCAGTTATACAACTGAAAAGCACTGACTGTTTTTTCATAACGGAGTAATACATTCTTTTCAAAGAAGACTGAAATAAAAAAGAAGAGCATTAATTTAGCAGAAGTGGAGACATTTCATTAAACTTCCCTTTCTTCTACTATGTAGTTAGGTATGGTTAGTTGAATGTCTTTCTAGATTTTTCTGGGATTGCTGGAACATGTGGTGATTTTGTGTTTAGTGTTTTGAGGAATGGCCATACCGTTTTGCACAGCGCTGTACCATTTTATACTCCCACCAGCAATGTCCCAGGATTTCAGTTTCTCCACATCCTCACTGATAGGGACCTGCTCTGTTAATCACTGCACCATATTGCTCCTTCCAAATGGACTGGTGAGAGAGGAAAAAAAGTGATAGGATATTCCTAAGAACTGTTTCTGTTCAACTTTATGCAATCGGAGACATTATTATCTTTTTCCCCTCTAGGAGAAAAATGCTGCTAAAAAGAAATCTGATTATTCTTTGTGTTAGAGGAACCTGATGAGTTTCTGTTATTTGCCTTCATTTCTAGATGACATTCAGATCCCTCCTCTCTTTGGTTAACATCATTATGTCAGTTTACTGAATAATATCATGTATTAGTTACAGGATAACTAAGTGATTTTATGTATGAAATATATATTATAGTAACACAGTAATTTATTATATAAGTCTATATTATAAAAATGTATATGTATAGTATTCTTTTTTTTTTTAAGATTTTATTTATTTATTTGTCAGCGAGACAGAGTGAGCACAGGAGCAGGGGGAGTGGTTAGAGGTAGTGGTTAGGGGAGTGGTTAGAGGTAGAAGCAGGCTTTCCGCTGAGCAAGGAGCCCATTGCCTGATACGGGACTTGACTCCAGGACCCTGGGATCATGACCTGAGCCAAAGACAGACACTTAACTGACTGAGCCACCCAGGTGTACCTATATGTATAGAATTCTAATCATAACTTCAGTTACACTTCTTGAGAAACTGGGAAACTCGCTGTCTTGTTAGGATGGGCAGGTTACTTTTTGCAGATGATTATTGCATTTTATGTAACTCAAGATAGATCTGTCTGAGGTCATACAGCTCTCTGCATTGACTGCAGTGGATAGTTCAAGACAGAAGGATCTATTAAGCCCCATTCTTATCTGGTCTTGTATTTTTCAAAATTATATACTGTGAAGTAGATTGCAGAATTTTCAAAAACATAACCTAACCACTCAGTTCACTGTTTACTGTAATGTTCTGTTTGAAGAAAGTTTTAACTTTGAATAAAAATGTCTATGATATAAGGAAGAAAATAATTTTTTAAAAATTTACTTCTAGTTGCTGACAAGATTTTGAAAAAGAAAGACTATCCGCTTTATATAAATCAAAACTGCTATAGAGTTACTGTTTCTCCATACACAGAAACACACTTGAAAAATTTTCAGGTAAAGTCATCTCTTTTCTTTCATTTTGGGGATTTATGACTAAACCCTACCTCACAAAAAATAAGGGAAAAGGTGTGAGTCTATTACTGTTTCATCTTTAGTGAGCAATGTCAAAATAGTTTCTTCATATCCGCTTGGTGCAAAATAAGTTTGTCTTTTAAAAAAACATTTTAATGCAAAACTGTACCTCATTTAATTTCTTACATACTTTTTAAAACTTGGAATTACTCAGATAATGGTATAATACTTTTGTTTGTGGAGACACAGCTGTATTTCTCTCATGTGTCCACTATCCTTAAGAATAATTCTTCCAGGAAGCCTGCTTCTCCCTGTCCCTCTCCCTTTTCCCCCTGCTTATGTTTCCTCTCTCACTGTCTCTCTGTCAAATAAATAAATAAAATCTTTAAAAAATATAAAAATAATTCTTCCTACTCATTTTCTCTGAACTCATTGTCTTTACCCTCAACCTATTCCTTTTTTCTCTTCCTACTTAGGTATTAAATGACACCCCCATCTACCTGGTTCACCGTCCTGAAAGCTACAACTCATGCTGAATTCTTCATTTTGCTTTATCTCTCGCATTCGTTTGGTCACTCGCATCTCTGACTACCTCTTTCATGGACAGAAAGACCATAGATGTGCCCGTCTTTCCTCTATTCATCATAATGCCACCAGCGTTATCTTTCTGAAATTCAGATCTGACTTGGATATGCTCTTGCATGAAACAGCTTACTGAGGCTCCTGGTCTCTTCTAAGATAAGGTCCAAAATATGCAGCAGAGCTCTATAAATCTAAAGTTCTGCAATTCGAAGCTCTCAGAACATTTTCTCTTTATCTTTTTAATTTTCCTTTTCAGGTGTTTTCGGGAATATCGGAGAGGACAGTGCTTCTGACTGGGCTGGAAGACCTTCAGATGACGGATATAGAACTTTTAGAGGATTTAGTTAGCATTCATTTCCAACGGGAGATGAACGGAGGTGGAGAGGTGGAAGTGGTCAAATGTTCTCTAGGTCAACCTTGCATCGCATACTTTGAGGAAGAGAGGAATGGAATGATCTGAATATTACTAGAGCCTGTGAGCCCAAATCACTGTCAGTATGTGACAAAAATGGATATCCCTTTTCCTTTAAAGAATGAAGTCTTTTAATTCTTTAGTGGCCATTTATTCTTAGATACAAAATATCCATGTTTCTGAATTCTTCTTTGTTTCAAACCCTGTTGCATGCTTACCAATGCAGTAAGTGCTCTATATTAAAAAGTTTTGTTTGTTCATAAATTATGTGGATTGGTGCAATGTCCGTTGAAATCAACCATAAGTGATGCAATTGTCCCCCTGCTGTGTTGGCTCATTTTGTAATGAGCATGTGGGCCAATTGTCTTTTGGCCCCAAGTCCACCAATATGCAGACTTGACTCTTAACATCTCCTGAAAGAAACGTTATATTCAGCTGTTTGTGATTTCCATAGACTTGGACTTTCAAGGGACTTCAAGAGCAGTGATTTCCCACTTTCCCGTTATATAGCATCTTCCCCCACAGGCCCAGGTGTATTTTTCAGAGCTGAGTGTGGTCTTTCTTTCTTTCTTTTTTTTCAAGATTTTATTTATTTATTTGACAGAGAAAGATCACAAGTAGGCAGAGAGGCAGGCAGAGAGACAGAGAGAAGCAGGCTCCCTGCGGAGCAAAGATCCCTATGCGGGGCTCGATCCCAGGACCCTGAGACCACGGCCTGAGCCAAAGGCAGCGGCTAAATGCACTGAGCCACCCAGGCGCCCCGAGTGTGGTCTTTCTACTTATAATTTTCTTCGCCCAGAGTGCCAAGTGTCCCCTGATTCTTTCCAAAACATCTTCTCCAAATAGAACTTGTAAAGACCATAATTTTCATTCATTTACACTTAAGATGGAAAAAGTAAGTTTAATGGAATGACACGCTTGGAATAAAGGGAGAAGTAAATGCAAAGCTAGAAGTTCATCACTCATCAGCCTAGATTTCAATCTGAAGACGAAAGCAGAGGCCCTGTGCTGTAGGGACTTACATTTTAGTTTGAGAGCCTCCCAGTTCATTAACATCCCACTGTTTGTAAGTTGTAGAAACTAAACTATATGATGCGAGGTTCCTATTCAGAGAAGGTGAAATTCTCTTTGGTAAAGAACATTGGAACAGCTTTTATCCTAATACGGTGTGTTCCATAAAGAGCCAAGAGCAGAAGGAAATTCATATTAAAGTGCTGGCAGAAATGAAATGCTTTAGAAAAGATTCTAAACCTCAATGTACCCAATGCTGCCCGCCATCTAAAAAAAAGGGAACGTTAAAAAAAAGAAAAAAGCTTGGTTTGCTTTTGATATTTTATTTTTAGGTTTTAAAGTCGTTATGCTACCATTAGAAGTACTCATTGCTTTTAGAACGAGACATGGTACCTGGAAATTGGGCAGCGTGCACTCTTCATAGTCACTGTTTTAGGGGGAAAAAAATCTCTCATGTGTCAGTTGTTCTTTGGAAATGGTAAAATTATTTCAGAATATTAAGAAATATTAAGAAAAATTGAAAGAACTTACTTAATTTTGATTGATACAGTCTCATTGGCATAAAAAGTGTCATTTTTAGTCTGTGGCAGGCTGCCAGTCAGAAAGAATTTTTTCCTAATATTTAGGATGAGGTTTGAAATAGTCACTTATGTTGCCTTTGGGGGGCTTCTTCATGCAGTAGAACAGATAATTTAATTCAATTCCAAATATTCACAATTTTTTTTTTTAGATTTTTAAAAAAAATTTATTTATTTGACAGAGATCACAAGTAGGCAGAGAGAGAGGGGGAAGCAGGCTCCCTGCTGAGCAGAGAGCCCGATGTGGGGCTTGATCCCAGGACCCTGAGATCATGACCTGAGCCAAAGGCAGAGGCTTAACCCACTGATCCACCCAGGTGCCCCTTCACAATGGTTTTTAATAAATATTTCTTCTTGTAGAAAATTAGACTTTTCCCTTAGGCTCTTTTCACCATTCCACCCTTGTGTGATCTGGCTAGATTTCAGAAATCAAGCATTGGCTTTCCTGCTTATTTCTAGAGTTTTAGAAATTTTATAGAAGTAAAGTTTGTCTTTGAAAATTTACCAAAAGAGGGACGCCTGGGTGGCTGAGTGGGTTAAAGCCTCTTCCTTCAGCTTAGGTCTCAGGGTCCTGAGATCGAGCCCCACATCGAGCACCGCATTGAGCTCTCTGCTCAGCAGGGAGCCTGCTTCCCCCCCTCTCTCTGCCTGCCTCTTTGCCTACTTGTGATCTCTGTCTGTCAAATAAATTTAAAAAAAAAGAAAAAGAAAAGAAAATTTACCAAAAGATACTATGTGACTATTGATTGGATATTAAGTCAGGAAACCTTAAATTGTGTGTCTTGGATGAGATAGCTCCACTTATTTTGTGAAAAGACACTGTCAACATCAACACATAAGTCAGAAGATTATGTGGAATCGCAAGTCCCTCTAGCCCCTGGTGGATTTATCAGTGAAGATGGCCTAGGTTATGCTGTAATGAAAACCTCCCGAAGCTCAGGGGCCTCACAAAACAGAAGTTTAATTCTCATTCATGTTGAATGTGCAACACAGGTTGGTAGGGGAGCCTTTTTGTCCTCATCACTTAAGGCCCCATCTTGACACACACTTCCAGAACCATGGAGGTGGGGAAACATGAAGTCTGCAGAATCTTGCACCAGGAATTAAATGTGTAATTTAGAAATGACCATGTCTTTTGTCTCACATCTCATTGGCCAGCAATAGTCATCTGACCTCACTGGAAAAAGAGGGACTGAAAGACTCCTTCTTGTGAAAATGAGAACCAGATATAGTGGAGCCAGAAGATTAAGGAATGCAGTCTTTCTTGTCCTACTGATCGTAATATCTGGATCACTCTCCTTCATACACAAAGCACACTCCTACTCACCCATACCCCAGTGAGGAAAACCAAAAGTTCCATTAAGTCATGATATCAAACTCCCAAGTGCGTGAACCCTAGGTGGTATGTGGTAGTTTCTATATCAAGTCTGAACGTTACTTCTCTTTATCCAGAGACCCCACCCCATGATAGAGACTAGTGGAAATGGAACAAGAGAACTGCAACAAACTCTCAAATTTGGAAAAGGGGACAATTAGGGGAACATGTAGTGGTCTCTGGGCCGAAGCCATCTTGAAATATCGCTGAGTTAGATACATGCTTCATATACCTTGAGTGTGGAATTTTGATCAGGCCATGATTCTACTCTGGAAATTCTCCTCTTGCTTATTGACCTTATAGCTTCTGGGCATTCTTCTTTTTCCATTGTTCTCCTTTTTCATATCTGGAACATATCTTTCTTGGAAGCTGAAAAGCTTATTCATTCAGTACACTAGCTATGACTAATGTTTGGGACCAAAATTTTTAAAGTTTTGAACCATCACAGTCTCTTTACTTTGGCTGATAGCTAGTTAGGTGTTACACTTCAAAAACTTAATAGGCTTTGGGGTGCCTGGGTGGCTCAGGTGGTAAAGTGTATGCCTTTGGCTCAGGTCATGATCTCAGGGCCCTGGGATTAAGCCCCGAGGTGGACTCCCTGCTCTGCAGGGGGCCTGCTTCTCCCTCTGCCTGTCAGTCCCCCTGCTTGGGCTCTCTCTGTGTCAAATAAATAAATAAAATCTTAAAAAAAAAAAAAAAAGACAACCCAAAATGTAATAAGTTTCTAATCTATTTTTTTTAATTTTTAAAAAAGATTTTATTTATTTAATTGACAAAGCGAGAAAGAGAGAGACCACAAGTAGGCAGAGATGCAGGCAGAGAGGGAGAAGCAGGCTCCCCGCCAAGTAGAGAGGCCGATGTGGGGCTTGATCCCAGGACCCTGAGATCATGACCTGAGCCAAAGGTAGAGGCTTAATGCATTGAGCCACCCAGGCACCCCAGGTTTCTAATCTATTTTATTTTGGTTAGCTTATATGTGCTAATAGCCACACTGACATTTTTTTCTAGACTCACGGTTTATTATTTTTTTTAGATTTTTTTTTAATTGTGTTATGTTACCATACTAGACTCACGTTTTAAGAGTTGCTATAATTCTCTGCTTTCTTGGTCCTATTTTTCTCTCTGTCTCTTTACTTAATTGAAGGTACTTTGGTCTATCAGACCACTTACAGTTTCTGTTGCCTGAGCCAGTTTGTCTAGCTGAAAGGGTTTATTGAATTCAGCAGCCTTCAATTGTTTTTGTTGTTGTTGCTGTTGTTGTTCTGAGGGACTTTAATCTGTTCAGAGATCCAAAGCTTGATTATTGATTTGATCTTTGCAATAAAGTGGAGTTCTAATCAGCCTTTGTTACTCAAAGTTTTTATCATTTGAGAATAGAATTATTGTTTCTTCCATCCTACATGTTCCCATATTTCCAGATTTCTCTATTCCCTTTCATTCTGGCCGATTCTTTTCTAAGCTCTTTTCTTTTTTATATTATGCTGTCAAATGCACTCAATAGTAACAGACATATGCTACTAATTTTGCTTTTTCACACCTTTTTAAAAAAAACTACAAGCTAATTAGGTACATAATCTGCCTTCCAAGCTATCACATGTGACAGCTTTACCAAATGTTTTTCCACTACATAATATGAATCACCAACCTTCTAATCTCTGATAATTATTTTCTAATTACCTGCCCCTCAACCAAAGCCATGTATTTTGATTGTGTTGTGGCTTGTCTTTTTTTTTTTTCTTTTGAGTATAGCAATGCTCCAGAATACCAATTGTATATCAATCAGGATAAATTATATGATACCGATGTGGCAAATTATGTCTTAATTTCAGAGACCAGAACAGAATTTTACTCCTTGGTCCATGATGGGTCAACAAAAAGGGTGCTCAGGGTAGACATTCACAGGGACATAACAGCAACCACAAACTTTTTTTTTTTTAAGACTTATTGGGGTGCCTGGGTGGCTCAGTGGGTTAAAGCCTCTGCCTTCAGCTCAGGTCATGATCCCAGGGTCCTGGGATGGAGCCCCACATCGGGCGCTCTGCTCAGCAGGGAGTCTGCTTCCTCCTCTCTCTGACTGCCTCTCTGCCTACTTGTAATCTCTGTCAAATAAATAAATAAAATCTTAAAAAAAAAAAAAAAGAAGAAATGAGAAGGGTTAGAAAAAAAAAAGATTTATTTATTTCAGAGAGAGAGAGACAGCAGGAGTGGGAGGGGCAAAGGGAGAGAGAGTCCCAAGTAGACTCCCTGCTCAGCACAGAGTCTGATTCAAGACTCCATCTCATGACAATGAGATCACAACCTGAGCGGAAATGTGGAGTCAGACACTTAACCGACTGCACCACCCAAGCATCCCGGCAGCCATCAATTTACTGCTGGATGTCATGCCAGAAGAAAAGAGCTCTGAAGGGTCTTGAAATAGCAATTAAATTCTTGGTCCGCAAATGTCCCTTTCATTTGCAGCTCAGCCAGAACTAAGTATATGGCCCCACCCAACCATAAAGGAGCTTGGATGTTTAATTCTACCGTATGCTTGGAAGGCAGGAAGCCAAAACTGTACAATGAATAGCATTAATGATATCTGGTTGGTATTGAAAAAAAAAAAGATGCTCATTCTTGAAAGATACACAAAGTATAATCACACCCAGATAATGGTAACATTTTTATGTCCTCCTTTCCAATTCTTTTTCCCCAACCATATATCACATTTCATTTTGTGACTATACCCTATTTCTAGGGTTACTGTTTCTCATTGTAGGACTTAAAGATTGCTTCCAATTTTCCACATTTATAAGTGCTATGATGCAAATAAACCCTTTTGTATCCTGGAATACAAATGTTTTTCTGCAATTCTAATCTTATCTCACGGTGATAATTACTAGGTTGATAGGGTGAAGGATATCAATTTTTTTTTAAGATTTATTTATTTATTAGAGAAAGAGAAACAGAGTATAAGCAGGGGGAGAGGGAGAAGGAGAAGCAGACTCCCTGCTGAGCTGGGAGCCTGACATGGGACTTGATCCCAGGATCTGGAGATTGTGACCTGAGCCGCAGGCAGATGCTTAACTATCTGCGCCACCTGGGCGCCCCAAGGATATCAATTCTTTCAAGGATCTTGATATATATGGCTGCAAGTGCTTTCCAGAAAGGAAGGCATCAGTGTACTTTTTTTTTTTTTTTAAGATTTTATCTATTTATTTGACAGCGAGAGAGGGAACACAAGCAGGGGGAGTGGCAGGCAGAGAGAGAAGGTGCTCCCTGCTGAGCAAGGAGCCCAGTGTGTGTGTGTGGGGGGGCACCATCCCAGGCCCCTGGGATCATGACCCAAGCAGAAACTAGAGGCTTAATGACTGAGCCACCCAGGCGCCCCTCCGTGTGTACTTTTACTTTAAGTACAATAAGGACAATTTCATTGCTCCCTTTCAGCATTGAATACTACTCCTTTAAAAATGATTTTCTTATTATGCTATTTTTAGAAGTCTTCACAATATATACCACGTCTTATGAAATTAAATAATTAACAAGATACAGATGAAATATCAAGTAATGGGTTTCATTTTTGTTTTTTTGGTATCACAAATTAAAAACATCCAGGAAAATGTCAATTTCATTTTCCTTAAGCTATGATTCAGAGCAAAGTGCAGTGAGATGGGAGGCCTCATAACTGGGGCTGTAAGAGATTAAAATATTTTTTTGGATGCCGTTTCAGTAATAAGCTGCTAGAATTATTTTGACCACATTTGGAGTCATGCTTGCTCAAGGATTTTTTGGCACATTAGGGGAAGAAAAAGTTTTCCCTAACCCTCCTAGAGTCCCTGACTGGACCTGAAAATTAAACCAATAAAACCAAATTAACAGGAGAATAGCATAGACATGTATTTAATATAAATTTTCTGTGATACAGGAGCCTTCATAAGGAGATGAAGACCTGAAGAAATGATTAAACCTGAGTGTTTTTATGCTAAAGCTGATGATGAGTGTGAAGTCATAAAAAGTCGAAGATGATAGGATGAAGAGTGTTCGCTAAGTGTAATAAACAAAGGGAAACAGCAAGGCCTGTTCATTCAGATTCCTTTCTGTGTCCTTTTGTCTTTGGAGGTAAAGCTGTTCCTTTCTTCTGGATACAGGGAAGAATGAGGGTTACATAAAACACCGGAGAGCTTCAGGGGAATGTCAGAGAGTCCTTCTTGCACATGTCCTTTCTTTTATTCCCTCAGTTTGAAAATTCAGTACGCCAAGCTGTCATATTTTGGGGGTAGCATTTTCCTGTGTCCCATCAGCACGTACAAGCTGGAATAGTTGGAACATACAAGGTTAAGGGTCATTCTAAGGTTCCATGGCACACATGGGTAGACTTCCTGACTCTAATCCTAGATCCCTTGTTGTTCCGTGGAGAGGGTCCCAGCTTGGATCATAGTGCTCGTGTCCATTTACAGTTAATCTTTGTTCCCACCTCTAGCCCAAAGCACATCTTTTCTGCTTTCTCTCTTCATATGTTTGTCTTTTCTGGTTAAACAGAAGTATACAACATACGACCTTTTGTGTCAGACTTTTTCACTTCGTCGGTGTTTTTGAGCTTCATCTTTGTATCATGTATTAGTAGTTCATCCCTTTTTATTGTTGAGTAGTATTACATTGTAAATATATATATATGTGTATATGTATATATATATATACACATATATATATATGGTGCATTTTGTTTATCCTTCAAGCAATTAATGGTCATTTGGGTTATTTCTACTTCTTGGCTATTATATATAATGCTGTTATGAACACTGGCAGTCTTAGTTTGGACATGATGCTTTCATTTCTCTTGGGTAGTTCTCAACGAGTAAAATTTCCTGGTCACGTGGTAAATTTATGCTTAAATTTTTGAGAACTGCTAAACTGTTTTAAAAGGTGGCTGTAACATTTTACTTTCCCACCAACGATGTATGAGAGTTCTCCTTTCTCCACATTCTTGACAACATGCTATTATCTGTCTTTTTGATTACAGCCATTTTAGTCAGTGTGGAGTGGTATGTCATTGTGGTTTTAATTTGCATTTCTTTAATGACTAATGATGCTGAGAATATTTTCATGTGCATATTATCCATTCATGTATCTTTGAAAAAAAAGTCTATTATTCAATTTTTTGTCCATTTTTAAGTTGGATTGTCTTTTTATTTTTGTGTTGTAACAGTTCTTTGTATATTGTAGATACAGATCTTTTATTAGATGTGTAATTTGCAAGTATTTTCATGATGCTCTTTAATTCTAGTGGTCTATCTTAGAGTATGCTAGGTGATACTGCTGAAAAAAATTCAGTAGCTTAAAACATCAGAACTTTATTTTTCATTCATATATATTTTGTTATGGGTCCAGGCAGCTCTCTAGTGAAAATGTGTTCTGCATATTGGCTCAGTGGTACAGGTTCCTTCAATGCATTCTTCTTTGAGCACCAAGGACAAGAAGAGAGCACTGGAGACTCTTGTGCTGCCAATGAAACACCTTCACCCAAATAGGAGACATGTCAGTTCTCCTCACTTTCACTGGCTGAATGAATGATACGGCCTTGACGAAATCAAAGGCTGAGGAAGGGCAAAGCCTCCAGGTGCCTGAATTGAGAAGATCAAGCAACACTAGTGAGCAGTACTAATGTCTACCATGTGGGGGGGAGACAAGTGAGAAAAACAATAAATATATGAAGATATTTTTAGAAAGGGGTGATGTTATTAAGACAGAATGACAGGGTGATAGTATAAAAATTAACTGGGGGGGGGGGACAAATTCAGACCGGGTAATTAGAAGCAGTCTCTTTGAAGGGGGGTCATTTGAGCTAAGACTTTAGTCACAGCAAGGGGTCAGGAAAGTAAAGATCAGGGAGGAGCTATCCAGCCTGGACAAAGAACCAAGGGCAAGGGGTGCCTGGGTGGCTCAGTCAGTTACGTGTCTGTCTTCGGCTCAGGTCATGATTCCAGGGTCCTGGGATCAAGCCAACCCCCACATCAAGGGCCCTGCTCAGCAGGGATCCTGCTTCTCCCTTTCCCTCTGCCACTCCCCCTGCTGGTGCTCTCTCTTTCTGTCAAATAAATTAAAAAGACAAAACAAAACAAACAATAACCAAGGGCAAGAAAAGTCTCCAGTTAGATAGATGGCTTCTTGTGTGGTCAGAACAGAGGGAGTGAGGACAGTTTAGGGGGTCTAGCCATAGAAAGCAGATCAAGGCCATTTTTCTTTCCTGGTGAGAAATGTAAATTTTATTTAAGGTGCAATGGGAATTTAAAGTTAAAAAAATAAATAAATAAAACCAACGTTTAGTATTCAAGTGCAATGGGAAGACATCAAAGTGTTTAAATAGGGAGCAAACCTGACTTACCTTAAAAAAGAATTGTTCAGTGTGTGGTATCCAGAATGAATTGAAGGGGAACGAGGCTGGATGCGGACTTGATCTGGCTGGTGAAGGTGGGGTTAGAGAGAGTGTGTGTTTATGGAATGTCCTAAACAGAGCTAAGGAAAAGAGGAGTCACAGAAGACAAGTGAGTCATGAGCTTGGGCTCCTGGGTGGGTAGTGTTATTATTTACAGAGAGGGAAGAAAAGGTGGAAGGAGAGTTTTGCTTGGTCTCCTTAAATTTCACATGCTTATTACACATACAACTGGGCCCTTAGGTACAGGAATCTGAAGATAAAGTCTGAGTTGGGGAATTACATATAGATAACCTCAAACTGTTTAAAATTTTCATAGTCTTAGGCCATAGAGATGTGCCATCAGCCATATAATAATTAGCTCTATTCACGGACTGAGTGAAAAACTTAACCAAAATGACACATATTAAAGCAACGCACAGTTGGAATTTGTGTACAGTATCTTTGACTTGGGCGCTGTAACTTCAGTTCTGAGAGTGGAACTGCTCAGTCTATGCATTTTCACACTAATTTCACACTTTAAATTTTGAAAGGGGTCCAAATCCTTAGAAATGGTTGCACCTATCTACGCTTGCAGCAACACGGACGCTTCCTCACACTCTGGCTAACACTGGGTATCACTATACTTTTTAATTTCGATCATCCTCATCGTGGAGAAAAGGGATCTCGTTATGATTTCAGTCTGTAGTTTTTAGGAGTGGAGCCAAGCTTCTTCACGTTTGCCAGCCATTTGCCTTTCCTCTTCGTGCTCTTTGACTGCGAAGCCCTGTAGGTAGATTACTCGTGTCCCCCTAGGTGCCAGACTGGAGTCAGACTGGCCTGGACAAGCCGGGGAGCTGTCTGTTGACAGGGGCCCTACGCTTTTCAGCCCGTGTCCTGTGTCCCTGGCCACGGCGCGACTGGCCCTGGGCTGGCAGGTGAGGAAGAGGAGGAACAGGTGTGGGGTGGTGGGAAGTCCCGCGATAGGGAAGCCGAGGGCGCAAAAAGGAGGTCCGGGTTTCCACTGAAAACGGGATAGACACAGCACCCGGAGAGTCTCCGAATTACTGCCAGGATTCCTGCTGGCGCCCCTCCGGCGCGAGTTTCAAACGCTGTGAAACTACCCAGGCAGCAGGCGGCCCAGGTCGGGGCTTCCGCTCGCTCCGAGGCCGCGAGGCGCAGAGCAGGGCGAGGCCGTGGAGGGGCCGTCTTTTCTCACATTGTCTCCGAGCTAGCCGCAGCCGAAACTGAAAGCAAAACCTGCCTGCGGGGCCCTCCCTGCGGCCCGCGCTGTGCTAGAGTTGGGTGGGCCCTGCCGGAGGCCGAAGGCGCGTCTCTCCCCCGCCATGGCAAGTTGCTTTTGTTTTGCATTTTGCGGGGCAGGGTCGTTCCGCCCGTCGCCCCGGTCCCCCAGACGGGCGCGGAGCGGGGCCGGCGCGGGTGCGGAGCTGTCCCGGGCGGCGCGGGGAAAAGCCGGGTGCGGGCGGAGAGTCCCCTGGCCCCGAGGCACACCTGCCCGCAGACGCGGGCCCGACCTCTCTGCACCTGCTCCTGCGGCGGTGCTGCGCGCGCTGTAAATTCACAGCGGGCGGTGAGAGAGAGCCTCAAGTCCAGGGAACGCCTTGCGCCGCCCGCACCCGGAGACTCCTGCTCAGGGGCACAGCTGTCTCGTCGAGAAGTCGCTTCACAGGCTGGTTGGGCTTAACTGTGGTCTCCCACTTCATGGGGGAACCCGAGCGGAGAGAATTACCCAGAAATGGAGGCCGCGGTTTCCTTTTGAAAAGGGCCGGCAAGAAGGATTCTAGCCAAGGATTCAAGTTGGGAAGGCATCCTGATGTCTTGTCTGCATAGTGGGAATTCTCTGTGGCCTTAGCTCTGTCTCCAAGGACAAGGGCTCTGTGTTTTCAGCATCTGTGCTGGCTAGCAAGAACCGTTAGCAAGTTCAAGATTGAGCCTTCCGTGTTCTTTCCATCAAGCGCTTGGAAACGGTGGCAGGGCCTTTAACGGCTGGGGTCCCGGAGATGCCAAAGCAGTGAGGTTTCAGTACGATTTTGTTTACTGGCAGCAGTAACGGCAACGTCAACGAAAATAAACAACTAATTTTTTAAAAAGGAAATATATACGAATGCAGGGCATGAATCTATTTATTTCTCTCCAGTGCCTTACTTAAAAAGTCAGATTTTCTTTATAGCTTTTAGCTTTCTGACACTACGGTCAAAGTGTCTTAAGTATATCACTGATACTGGGAAAATGTCATCACCTAATAACTCTTGGCCAAAATGCTTCTCTTGTTTCAAAATCCTATATCTCTGTGGTAGTTCTTGGAGGGGTTATTTCCATGAACCCCCTTTCTTAATGCTGGATAGAAGAGATTGGTAGTCGTCAGGGAGAGTTCCTTTGATTTCAAAGATAAATTAAATGCAGACACTTAAATAAAGAAATAGAGAATTAGTATCGTTGAGGGCAGAGGTGGAGTAAGATTTTCTGAATTTAAATTGATGGAAAGTTTTTCTTTGACATTGATGAAAGGCAAACAGGAAGCTCATTGACAAGCCATGTAACCATTGAGATTGCTGTGGACCAGTCAGTGTTGTATAGAGACAAATCAGTGAAGTAGAATTCCTGAAAAATCTAAAAAAATCTCTTGTCATTTCTTTTCCTCTGCTAGGAAGAACTATTTTGGGATTATTACATTATACCAATTGGGACTAGGATGGAGGAAAACATATATTTTTACTCTTTCCTATGGGATCTAGTGGTGAATATTTTAAGAAACTCTGTTTTCCTCTATTAAAAGTATTTTCTGTAACAAATATTTAATAGATCATTATAAGTTTCATTTTCAGGAAGCACTCCCTTTGTTTTATATGTCTCAACATGAGCCATTTTCATCCCCTGTCCCTCTGTCCTTTTGCTGTTGTTGTGAACTCTTCTTTTGCATTTTTAATTAAATTTGGCCATTAATTAAAATTTGACCTCAGCCTTTTTTATTCTTTTGCTTTCATTTCAAGGTGCCATTTGGATGGACAGGATATTATGTACCTAGACTGTTTTCTTGACCTGAGACGTCAAAAGTAGCTTGCTTGTCCTCGGTGAAGTCCTGTTCTGAGTACAGAATCCTCTGAGCTGAGAGCCCAAAACGTCTTTGTGATCTGTTAACCCTTACTCAGGCCCATGAGATATCCTGTCCTCCCTGGGGGTAATTTAGGATAGATTAAGTCTGAGCTTTGGTATAATCGGGTTGGACTACCTATGTAAGCACTGGGAGGAGCTTATGGGTCTACTTTCCAAATGGGATGAAATAGAAGCCCCTTACCTGGGTAAAATAAGAAGTTCAAAGAGAGTGAGCTCAGGGAGGTATCTACTGGGAGCTGGTACTCTGTGCTGAGTATGATGGCGGGGTCTGCAATAGCATATGCTCTCAGTAGTTGAATTCCAGCTCAAATATGTACAGGAGGACAGGATTTACTCTACTGCATCCCCAGTATGATTGCTGGGTTTTTTTTTTTTTTAATGGTATCTTTTTCTAATTCTGGCAAAAAAATTAGAGATGTGTTTATTATTGGCTTATGTACTGTGGGACTACACAATCAACAAAACATACAGCCATCTCCAAACTACTATATTTGGTGGTTAGCTTGATTTGCTTTTAAACTTAATTTTTAAAATTTTGTATCTCTGATTTCTTCCTTTGGGACTGCCATTACTTTTGGGCCTTTCTAAAATCAGACAAATATTAACAAATGCTTTCCATTTATAAACAAATGAAGAGTTCACTTTCTACATTTAATTCTCAAATTCATGTGGTGTATGATGTGAAGCAAAGATCTATCCTTAATTCTTTTTTTCAAGTATCTGATCAACTGTACTAACACCTTTATTGAATAAAATAGCCTCTCCCTCACTGGTGTGTGAAATGCCTGTATTAAGTTGAATCTTATTTTTATATTTAAAAAACTATCCTACTCTTTCTCTTACAGGCATCCATTTTGGAAGGCAAGGAATCCAAAACTTCTGAAAGAACAGCTGCAGTTGCTGGTCATTTGGTTGACCTTTTTAATGATCAATTGCAGACCACAGTAATGAAGACTCACTTCCAAGATATTAAGAATGAAAGTGGGGTTGTTGGAAATGTGATAAATCCAACAAAAGCCAGGGGAGTTGCAAATGTGTGGTTCAAAGGAAAAAAAGGTACTTCCAAATCAAATTTTATAAACTTAGAAATACTTCTGAAATGAAATTAAAAACTGAACTTCATTAAAATGATTCACGGGATTGGTAAAGTTTAAAGTAGCTTTTTGAAAATATTATTCTATTCTGAATATAAAAGTGGTACAATATTGCATTAACAAGAATATATGTAAAATGGTTCATGATAAAGTTGGTAGTAACTGCCAAATTCTTGAAGACTTCTTTCCTGTATTTGGAATCTGTCTCGATCTTGGGAAAAAAAGTGATGTATTTTGTTGTAGAAAACTTATAAAATACAGAAAAGAAATCCCCACAAAAATAATCTATAATCTCACAAATTAGATGACCGCTTTGGGAATTTTCAAGTGACTTCAGCAATATATCATCATACCATTTACTTCTCTCTGTTCAAACCAACAAAAGGATATTTTAACATAGTGTTGGCTTTATCACTGGTAATGGACTGGAGAAATATGGCTTGGATCTGAGATCAGATGGAGCCATTCTGTTCCTCACCTCCAGCCCTGACATAGGTGAGGACGTTGGGTCTGCAGAACATATTCATCCCTTCAGGCTCATGGAGGGGACAGCCTTCTCAACAGTTCAGTGACAGAGAAAGATGAGCCTCCATGCCAGGATCTTGGAGCTAAAATACCACATGGTATTGGGGGCAGAAGAAAAGACCTTGCTTTGCTTGAGGGAAGATAGGATCTAGAGAGAGACCTAAGAGACTGTGGATTATCAGGGTACCTAGTCTGTCACCATTCATTCATTCCTTCCTTCCCATTGGCAATGTTCAGGTAGGGATGGTAGGTGGGGCTCCTTCTTATGGCTCTTACGGGATTATAGTGTTTTTGGAAGCTAATTTTTCAAATATTGAATTGATAACTCAGAGAGAGAGAGAAAGAGAAGGCTCATTCATTCATTTATTCACAAATATTTGTGAATGCTTATTATTGGCCAGGCCCCATTCTAGGCCTTCTGGATACAGCAGTGAGTGAAATAGGCAAAATGTTTTCTTTCCTGAAGCATATATCCGTGCTGGATAGATAATAAAAAAGCAATAAATGAGTATATATTGCATTGGGTGTTTTATTAATTTGCATATTTATATATTATTTATATATTTATATTTATTTGTGTTTATATATTACATTTATATATTAATTTGTATATATTAACATATAATGTGAATACTATGAAAAATATAAAACAGAATAAAGGGATGGAATGGGATGGAGAGGGCTATTTTATTAGATAGAATGGGTAGGGAAATATTCCCTTTAGGTGACATTTGAGCAGACACATGCATGAGGTAAGGGAATGTGCAGATAAGGGTCAAGAACATTCTAAGGCAAGGGAAGGGCTGGGAAAACCTTTGAGAGGGTAGCATGCTGGACATTTTGAAGATAGCAAGGTGGCCCGAGTGGCCGGAGCAGAGCCAGTAAGGAGAGGGTAAAAGGAGATGGGTCAGATGGGTGGCGGGGGCCAGTATATATGAAGCAGCCTATAAGTCAAGGCAAGGTGTCTGGATTTTATTCTGGGGGAGAGGGAGGGTTTTGAGCAGATGACTGACAAAGTGTGACTACCTTTTCTTGGGTGATCCCTCTGGCAGTGGTGTGGAGACAGGAGCTAGTAGTCATTGCTGGTTTTGACTAGGGTGTTAACAGGGCTGGTGATTGAGACCGAGTGGCCATTCACGATTTGCTGACAGGTTAGATGTCATGTTCTTAGATGTGGAACACTGGAGGAAGAGTACTTTTGGGAGGGGGATGGTTATCAAGAGTCGAACTCTGGTCATGGAGACGTTTATTTGCATAATGAAGTAGAGATTTCCAAAAGCAAAGGAAAGATAGAATTTGCAAGATACATCTAGAGAGAGTATCTAAAGCTGTGGGATTGTCAAGATCAACCCTTGACTGGGTGTATGTTTGCTAAGAGATACAAGTCCTAAGGCCTAAGGCATGCTAACATATAGAAAATGGGAAGAGAAAAAGAATTAGCAAAGGGCACAGTGAATTTTGAAGAAAACCAGGATAGTGTGGTATCCGGATTTAAGAAGGTGGTCTCCTTGTGGCCATAATTAACAAAGGGAGAATTTCCTGTTAGGTTTTTGTGTTCTCTTTTTATATATGTATACATATATACATATGTATACACACTTATGTGTTTTAAAAAATATGATTAGGATCATAGGTACACAAAAAATGAATTTTAAAGTAAAAGGGAAAACTATTTAAATGTTGAATTTAAAGGAAAAATGTAGAAAAAAATAAGGTATGTGAAATAATAGAGTTGAAGATTTTTATTATTAATAATTTAAGTAATTATTAGTGTGTCATCCCACAAACACTTCTGATGGCAATGTTTCTGCTTATGTGTAGAGAATGTCAACAGAAAACAGGAACACTGTCAGGTAGAAAAGTCTGGATCTCCTCAGTTCACAGACCCTCATTTCAGTGAAAAGGTAAGGTATGATACTGGCAGTCCTGGGTCCCCTCCCTCCCTTCCCTCGTTCCTCCCTTCTTCCCCTCCTCCTCCCTCCCTTCCTTCCTTCCTGATTTTAATTAATTAATTAATTAATTATCTGAAAGAGAGAGAGTCAGTGAGAGAGAGAGCATGAGCAGGGGAAGGTGCAGAGAGACAAGCAAACTCCCCACTGAGCAGAGAGCCTGACATGGGATTCATGGGGTTCGACGCAGGGCTTCATCCCAGGACTCTGGGATCATAACCTGAGCTGAAGGCAGCCACTTTACCAACTGAGCCACGGAGGTGCCCCCTGGATCATGTTTCTTCTCTGTGTTCCTTACAAAGGAGACACAAAGCACTCTCATCTTGTGATTCCTACCAAAGAAAATGCACCCTTGCTAACCTGAGTCATTGTTAAATGCCAAACGTGTGTCTTGAAATGTTTTGCTTATTGCCTGGCCTATTTTATGTTTCTGTGTGTTCCTCTTGATGCTTTCAAGCAAGCACTTTTATGCTCATATGGAGGATGTCAGTCATCTACCTAAAGACTTACTTGGGGACAAAAACCTAATTAAGATGAACATTAAAAAGATTTTAAAGAGGCAGGAGAGGTAGATATAAGAGGAAAGAGTTAAAATTCATCGGCTTAAAACTATTCACTAAGAAACTCAGGGTTCTGGGTAGCTTCTGATGAACTTCGCTAAAAGGGCTTTCTAAGGGGACCCCGTCCACAGAGAAGAACTAGAACAGAGTGCTATCTGTACTTATAACAGTGTATGGGTTTTGCTTAAGGCTTTGTTTGAAATAACATTCTGTCTCTAAAAAATATTTGACTATCTCTGTTTTTGGAAATGCAACGAGGGACTATGAATCCCAAATTGAACATTGTGAACTCAATGGGTTGTGGGATCCCTTTGATGGGCTGCTCTGGCGCAAGAAACTAGTCTATGCTGGGCAATTGGGGCTTGGTTTGGGGTAACTGCTGTGGAGACAGAGAGAGTGGCAGAAAAGGAATGTGTTTATGTCATCTGCTTGAACTGACAGCGCTGTTTTAATTTCTCTCTGTTTAATTTTAGGTCTTCAGCTCTGTGGAAGCTATCCTCGATCTTTCTGTTTTTCGGAGTCAAGTCCCTCTAGAAAGTCTGGTAATGGATCTAAAAAGGAAAATCCCAACTTTACGCTTCAGTCCTTTGGAACCTAATGGAAGAATCTCCGTCCAAGGATCATTTCTGGCTCTCCAGAAGCTCAAAGAATCTTTGCTATTAAAAGCAAGTTTTCTTTTAGAAAAAAACAGGAATTTCATCAGTGAGGGGAAAAGGCCGACTAGGCAGAACCCCAGAAGGCATCTCCAGAGAAGAAGCTCCTCAGAGTCGCTCAGGTCCTCAGTACCCGAGGCCACCAGGAGAGGAGAAACGCTTGTTCTCGACACAGATATTTTCCTCTGCCTCAAAAAGAGCAGATTTTACAAAAACACATTGAAAACCTGTCATGTTTTCTGTGAGGAAAGAGTGGATGGTGAAATTACCACAATTTGTATAAAAAATGCTCAAGAATGTTCTCAGCCAAACAATGAAAAGGTTGTAAAAGCACTTTTTGAGGAATATTCCCTTGCTCTTCACTTTGAACTGAGAAAGGAGACACTCACTTTGAAAGGAAGGGGAAGTAAAGATAAAAGAAATATTAAACTGGCATGTGAACAACTCAGTTCAAGGTTCCCTCAGGTTCAGATTAATTTTTATGAGACACACATTGACATTATAGGATCATCTTCTGACACAAACTTGTTTAAAAAAGAGGTCACGGAATTAATAAGGTTAGAAAGTTAGACAATGAGATCTCAGCAGTAGTAATGACAATGGCAGTTGCTTTTTCTCACAGAGTAGTGAGCAGTATCTGACTAGCTTTACACACATTATCTCATTTAATCCTTGCAACCAACCATCCCTCAGTGTAGACATTGCTATCCTCATGTTGTAGGGGAAGAACCTAGGATTTGGAGAGGTTAAAACTTTTGTCTGGAGTTATCCAGTGGGCAAGGAATGGGGCTGGGGTTAAACTCGGCCTATCTGACTACAAAAATAATATTTAAGGCTTAAAACTTTGAAAAAAAAAATCTCTTTAAGTTTGGAGAAATCTCACTTTCTCTGTACCCCCAAATTCTCGGAAAGAGAAATAGCCTTAAATCTAACACAGAAGATGTTTGGATGATTGTCATGCCTTTGGCCATTTCATAGCATTTACTCCAAATAGTTTGTTTACTCCAAATAGAATCAGAACCTTGGCAAAACTCACTGGAGAAGCTACTTTGATTCAAAGTACTTCTGAAGCAGGTAATCATTACTTGACTAAATCTGATTGGTACGAGGCTGCTGGACCATGTGGGACATTTTTATTGTTGCTTATTTAGCCTTAGTACATACATAAAATGCTGGTTCTCTTAGAATTGTGAAGAATTACAAAATATAGTGTCTTTTTTCTTTATTCCCCCCTTTATTTTATAATTACATGGCTAAAGTAATAGCATTTGAGGAATAAAAACGTAGGTGTTTCCTTAAAGATGACAGAAGGATTTGAAAATTCATTACTGGAGAAGGGAAAACAAGAGCTTTTAAGTTATTTGGTTGTCTAGGACTCCCCTGAATTTAACTTTGGGATAGTTTCAAGTGCCTGGGGGCACATTATCCTAGGATAATAAAATGTATACATCTTGCTCATCTCAAAGTAAATAAATGTGGGGGCGCCTGGGTGGCTCAGTGGGTTAAGCCTCTGCCTTCAGCTCAGGTCATGGTCTCAGGGTCCTGGGATCGAGCCCCGCATCAGGCTCTCTGCTCAGCAGGGAGCCTGCTTCCACCCCCTCTCTGCCTGCCTCTCTGCCTACTTGTGATCTCTCTCTCTTTGTCAAATAAATAAATAAAAAACATTTTAAAAAAAGGTAACTAAATGTGATCATGATGATGTGGACTGTTAAAAGAAAAGCATAAGACAAATTTCTCTATATGCTTTCATTTTTCTTAGCCATCTAAATCCCAAATATTTCCATCTTTTAAGATATGATATTTCATTGTTGTTTGAGTAAACTTTTTTTTTTTTTGTCATGGCAAGCTGCTGTTTATATCAAATACTCAAAAAGATGCTTCATTTCTATTTTGTTCCTAGGAGTTTGTCTCAGTCTGGGTCCAATCAAGAGGGAGAAGGCCCACGGCAATTTGAATAGGGAGAGTTTAATATAAAGAAGTGTTAACTATAATAGGGGATTGGAATAATGAGGGATTGGCTAGTAAGAAATAAAGAGAACTCTAAAAAATACAGGAACAGCAGATCTAAGAAGCAGTTTAGATACCCGTGGAAGAGTCCCCTACCTCCCATCCCAGGACAGAATTTGCTGGAAGGTTTGTGCCAGAGGATCTTGCTGGAAATCCATCCTCTAGCTTGCTGGAGGAAACTGTTCAGAGGAAGTGTTTTACCAGAGACATTCTATTACACAATGCACTGGGGAGTTGCTGGGGTAAGCAGTGTAGCTGGCCATTATGCTCTCATAGGCCCTGAGTGTTGGGGAGGTCTTGTGTGCTGGGGGCTGAACGCGTGAGCAACTGCTCCTGCTGCATGAGCCTAATGCTGGAGAAGCTGCCCATGTTGCAGAAGCTGGGTACTGGGAGAAGCTTTCTCTGCTGAAAAACGGATCCCTAATTGACTGCCAATTGAACAATTTGAGGTAGGAACGACTTTCCTCTTGCAGTGTCTCTCTAGCGCCCTCTACTGAGAAAACTTAACAGGAAAAATTTTAAGAATCCCAGAGTCCTTTTCACAGAGTAGGCACATAGGATGAATTTAAAGCAGAGTCAATAAATTGATTACTGAAAGAGTTTAATTTGATACCTACTAAGGCTTTCATTATTATCACAAATTTAACACCAACAGGATAGTCTTTAAACAAAGAGCTGGATCAGAAAAATGATGTTCATTCCATGCTCTGTAAGACATTGATTTACAAGTATGGATATAGCATCTTCTGCTTGACATTATGTATTTCAGATGTTTTTACATGTTGCTGTGCATTTTAGAGTTTGTTTAACAGCACCTTCTTTATAATATGCTAGTTGTGTAATCAATTTCTATCATTAATAAAAACCAGTATTTTTTCCAAAGTAGCAGTAGTGACTTTCACTTAAATTTATTTTTGAGGGCGCCTGGGTGGCTCAGTGGGTTAAGCCGCTGCCTTCGGCTCAGGTCATGATCTCAGGGTCCTGGGATCGAGTCCCGCATCGGGCTCTCTGCTCAGCAGGGAGCCTGCTCCCCACCCCCCGCCTCTCTGTCTACTTGTGATCTCTCTCTGTCAAATCAAATAAAATCTTAAAAAAAATAAATAAATTTATTTTTGAGGCTTACTGATGCTCAGGTAGATGATGTGAATTCCATCCTCTTGTCAGATACAAACCCTATTGTATGTCTGCCACTGGGAGAAAAACCTGTCATTTAATTAGATAATATGTTGATACTTTTCAGAGAGGCTGCAGGTAGTGAAGATGGCCATTATCCACTAAAAAAAGAAGATGTAGGAGCTTCAGATCAAGACAGACAAAGGAGTAGAGTGGGAGAAAGGGTTCCAAGGCGTTTAGGTAAGAAATGTATTCAGAAATTCTTGTTGAGCTCATCCTCTGGGACAACTGTTCTGCAGGGTTCTAGAGACAATGATGTTGTTAGAGAAATGTTCACCGATTTCCTAGAAGTCACTGCTTAGTCTGGCAGAGAAGGCAAATAAGTCATCACCTTAGTGCTTGCTACAGAAATAGTTGGTGTAAGGTGGAAGGGACTGTCAATTCTTACTGAGGATATGTTAACCATTTTCCAAATTATTTGCATAATTTTCGTAGAAAAAAGATAGCATGTGTCAAAATTTTGTTTGCCTTAATGAGGAGTAAACTATCAGAATGACAATACTGGATGAAAAAGAACAGGAGAAATGGAATTTAAAAATCAATAAGGAAAAGCCTGTTTGTAAAGATTGCTAAACTAGAAACAAAGCTGATCAACGTCCAATGAGGCTATAAAACTGTGATTTGGGGGTTGTTTTCTCTGCTAGACAGAAAAAAACGATCACACTTTATCATGTTTTTTAGAAGTTAGAGTTCTAACTGTACTGAGTTGTAAAATGTTAGTGCCCCGATCAATTGTGATATTAAGTGAAACGAAGTTAGATTCCCCAAAAGAGATGACCCACTAGTGGGCTAACTGGAGCATGTCCAGCAAGGCATTAAAAGGTCACATAATTATTTTTTGCCTTATTTCTGTGTTTTGAGTAATTTTCTTTAACAAGGGTCAGAGGAAGCCTCCCAGAAGGTAAGACCTGATGGGTGGTTGTTAGTCCAGGTAAGAGATGAGGAGGGAGGGCAAAACAGCCCTTGGTTTGGTAGATGAACCCCAAGTTTAGGGATGGCTGAATTTTGACAGCCTTGTTTTTACAAATTTTATTTGATGGACCAGATTCCTTGATGCCCCAACAAAAGAGCCACACATATAAAAGTGTGGAGGGAATGAAATGTCTAATTTCTTTTTTTTAAATTAAGATTTTATTTATTTATTTGACAGATAGAGATCACAAGTAGGCAGAGAGAGAGAGAGAGAGAGAGAGCAGAGAGCCCGATGTGGGGCTCGATCCCAGGATCCTGGAATCATGACCCGAGCCAAAGGCAGAGGCTTTAACCCACTGAGCCACCCAGGTGCCCCGAAATGTCTAATTTCTGGTGTGAATCTCTCCATATATACCATGTTGGTGGCAAAGTATGGATTTTCCCAAAGACAGTAATTTAAGAAACTTAACTATCAGTGCCTAGATTTCATTTCTCTAGGATCATTTCCTGGTGTAAATAAAAATTCTATCAACTTCAGTGGGCTCTCTTCCATATTCTCCGTCCACTCCTTCTCTTTCATCTTTCACTTCTTCCAAACTGATTCTGGGAGAGTTCTTTACCCTTCTAGCTTCAGTGTGCTTAGCTATAACCTGGAAATTATACCTATTTTCACAGGGTTATTGTGAGTTTTAGAAATAATGGTAGGTAATAAATGTTCAAAAATAATAGTCATTATTTTTAAGAACTTATTTATACCAACAGCCCAAGAAAAGCTCTGTCTACTTGGAATGCCTCATCTCAGGTGGGTACCAACATGTTACTCCAATTAAAAAACTGAGCATTGTTTTGGACTTCTTCCTCTTCTTTTCATTACTTTAGATCAGGCCTATGTCATTTCTTACCTGGGTTAGTGGGTTGAATGGTATCCCCTCAAAATTCAGAAGTAACCTTATTTGAAAATAGGGTCTTTGCAGATGTAATTCATTAAGATGACATCATCTAGATTAGAGTGAGGCCTTAACCCAGGGACTGGTGTCCTTATAAGAGAGGGAGAGGACACTGAAACTCAGAGGAGAGAGGGGGAAAGCTCATGTGACAATGGAGGCAGAGGGTGGACTGATGAGTTATAAGGCCAGGGATGACTGGGAACCACCAGGAACTGAAAAAGGCAAGGAAGAATTCTTCCCAAGAGTCTTCAGACGGAGCTTGATCTTGCCAACCCCCTTGGTTTTAGACTTCTGGCTTCCAGAACTGTGAAAGAATAAATTTCTATTGTTTTAAGCCACCAACTTCGTGGTTATTTGTTATGGCAGCTCTAGGAAACCAATACACATGGCTTTCTTTTAAAAAAGTTCCTGGGAGCCTCTGATCTTTGCAGTTGGTTTTGTGTGTGGGTCCCTCTTGTATACTCTATACCCCCCTCCCTTGCAACAGCATTTCACAGTACATTTTGTCTGTTGGTTTCTCATTTTCTTTTCTGCCTATGTGGTCTCCTTGAGGCCAGGAATGTTGTCTATTTCTACTTTATTCTGTTTATAACACTATGTGCCTGGCACATAATAGACATTCCACGAATACCTATGAAAATATATGAACAATTTTTGTGCTCCCCACAGAATTTATACAGGATTTTGTACTGAAATAAGCATCTCATAAATGTGTGTTCATTGGTCCAGGAATTTTCTTTTTATAGTCCTCCCACTTGCCAACATCCAAATGCTGATATTAATCTCTTACCCCTTTAGAATGTGTCCTCAGTTCCTACTTGTATTGTTTCCTTCAATGTAAGAAATTCTGGCAAGAGAAAGTCAAGCAGCAAGATATCCCTCTCTTTTATATTCTCATGCAGCTTGGTCATTGCTCCTGGCAGGAAGGCACTAAACATATTCCCTAAAAGTGCCTGGGATGGTTCTTTCCATTTGCCTAGTTCCTAACTGGGTTTCACCAGTGAGACAAAAAGTCCCTTGTGATTTAATTAGATAGTTATGAAGATTTGTTGGGTCTGTCTACTCTTGTATCTCGTTATTGTCAGCACTAAGAAGTCAATGGGGGGAATTCTCAATGTTTATAAGCAGTTTATCCATTAATGCTTGAGATAGTAAAACATTTAACCAGTAGAATATATTATGTAATAGCATATGTATGTGTGTCAAGGCTCTCCAGGAGTTAACATATTTCTAGTAATACCGAGAAAAACAATAGGAGTAGAATATGCCTCCTTTTGATTTTCTATGAAATTTAATATTGGAGGAAATTAATCTAACAAATATTTTATATATTCAGATATTACAAGAGTACTAACTTAAAGAACCTGATCTCTCAGGGGGTGGTGGGAAGAGGGATATAGAATATAAAAAAGGCTTTTTTGTTGTTATTGGAGAAATCTGTTTAAATTAATAAGTGATTTCATGAAAGGAATAAAAAGATAAAATGT